TTTGCACGGTAAAAAACGTACACGCATCGCGGCAACGGATCTCTCGTGTCGTGCTTTGACGATTTACGAACGCGTGTTACGCGGAGAAATATGGTAACTCACCGTTAGGCGTATATACACTGGCGGCCAGCTACTTAAGACCGTTGGTTAGTTAAAGAAATAAACAGTGTTAATATTTTATTCATTGTATTTTTCGTATACTAAACTCATATGAAATATATTTTGAAGTATATTAAACCATAATATCGCAATAATTTTATTTACAACACAATAAACTGCAAATATTTTTAATATTTTCTCAGATTAGGTCGTTATAACAGCGGACAACTACTTAAGACCGATTCGTGTTTTTCATTTTTTGCTTATTTTCACATTACATAGTTGTATCAGATCCTTAGTTACCATCACTGTTGACATGGTTGCGATGGATCACTGCATTCAAGATCGCAAACAATTGCTAATCAGTCAACAATCATGAGTCGAGAGAAGAACATTACTCTTGAACTAAGAATTCAAATTAAATTATTGAAAGATGAGGGATACTCATTTTCAACAATTGCTACTAAATTAAATATTTCCAAAACGGCATGTATACAGGCAATGCAATTCATATCTAAAACAGGATCAGTTTGTAACGTGTCGCGTAAAAGAAGGCCTCGTAATACAACAGCACGAGAAGATCGCATTCTTCACCGCATCTCTGGAGCGGATCGTTACAAAAGAGCCGAACAAGTCCTCAATGAATCTGGTGCCGAAATTATCAGGAAAATTAGTGTTCGAACAGTGCGAAGAAGATTAAACGAATTTAATATTATGGGTCGCATCGCTCGCAAGAAGCCACTTATTTCCAAACGAAACTGAAAGCTTCGTTTACAGTTCGCTAAGAATCATCGCAACTGAGCAATAGCAGACTGATCAAAAGTTGTTTTTACCGATGAGTCCAAGTTTAATAGAGTGAGGTCAGATGACAAATTGTATGTTCGACGTCGTGTCAACGAGGAATTTTCACCAATATGCATAAAATCAACCGTGAAAGGTGGAGGAGGTTCAGTGAACGTTTGGGGAGCGTTTACGTTACAAGGTGTTGGCCCAATTCATAGAATTGAAGAAACAATGGGTCAATACAAATACATTGATATTAAATGAGGTATTGCTCCCATTTACAAGAAATCAAATGCTAGATAACTGGATTTTGCAAGCTGACAATGATCCGAAACACACAGCCCGTAGGGTTAAACAATTTTTATGTCAGTAAAATGTAAATATTTTACCATGGCCCTCTCAATCTCCAGACCTCAATCCTATTGAGATGCTATGGATTGATGTGGAGAAACATGTAAAATATAAAAAGCCCAAACATTTAAATGAATTGTACGCTGTTATTCAAGAAGGGTGGAATAATATTCCAGTCGAGCGTTGTCGCCGTTTAATTGAGTCTATTGCACGACGTTGTGAAGAAGCGATACGACAAAAAAGGAGTGCAACGCGTTACTAACTATTTGCTAAGTTTTATTTTTCCGCAATTAACAAGTTTCATTAATTTTACCTGTATTTATAGTATTAGTCTGATTTGGTCTTAAGTAGTTGTTCGCTGTCATAACGACCTAATCTGAGAAAATGTTAAAAATATTTGTAGTTAATAGTATTGTAAATAAAATTATTGCGATATTGTGATATAACATAGTTCAAAATATATTTCATATGAGTTTAGTATACGAAAAATACAATGAATAAAATATCAGCACTATTTATTTCCTTAACTACCGAGCGGTCTTAAGTAGCTGGCCGCCACTGTATACCGTGGTCGCTCAACGATCAAAAACGGCAATTTTTGGATCGATCCAATCATCGATCGGGTCGATACTGTCACGCACGCGGCGCGGCGCGCGTATTCACGTCTGCGTATAAGGCCTTTGCCGCGATACGGTTCAGGACCGTGCCTAGCGACATACGGGCGATGCTTTAGCCGTTGCGTAATTATTGAAATTTCTGGGATTCCGGAACAGGATCCTTTCTTCGTTTTGTACGAGTGTCTTGTTAGGCACTGTCGTAATGCAAGTATTTATTTAAGCAGGAACAATTAATAATAAAGTACATATTGATAATTTAGTAATCAGGATTCATACGTGCAGTTGCACATTCCAATTTCGTTTCTAGAAAACATGTGATGGATTATTTCACATGTATCAACATTTTGTTAGGTTTTTGATCTCTTCATCGGTCAGAGTTCGTGCATGCAGTTGTACATTTCAATTTCGTTTTTAGAAAACTTGTGTATCATCTCACATATATTGACATTTTGTTAGGTACTTCATCTATTGATTGGGCAGTTCTTTTATGAACGCTCCTTTTCTAGCTCGTTTCTAACTTTTCGATAGCTTCTCCCTTAGGTAGGTATTCGAATTCCTCGCCAAAGGAAGGGTGGTTGGGGCGAGGCTAGGGTGGGTCTCCAGTCGCAGCAACCTCCACGAGGTGAGACCTATAATTATTAATTACATAGCAAATAATATGAGCTAATGGCTGCGTTCTACTTATAGTTCCACATACATTCTTCGTCCTGGTGTGCGGTCTAATAACACTGATTTCGAGTCGCAAATACGTTTTTGCCGAGTTAGTTTATAAATAAATAATATATTACAATTTAAAATAAAAAATAGAGGATTTGCGGTGTATTTATCAATGAGATCCTTACGTATTTTAATAATTTTGAAATCTTTAAATAATCTCAATCGATTGGTTATTCCAATGAAATTAATCGATTGATGCTCAATTCTGGACCATAAAGCTTTCATTCCGTTAAAAAATAATAAAATTTACGTAATTTTATTTTCTGTCTCCCTTCCTCTTGTGTTAAATTCTGAATCTGTTGATAACGTAGCGAGTGACACGAAAATGGTAATGGGGTCCCGGGACCCCAGAAACTCCGGCCGAAAAATTACATTACGTGAAACGTCTATTCATATATCTCGTCTGTGTTCATATATCTCGTCTGTGGTATCATCACAAATACCTCGTCTGTGGTAAAGCATCTCGCGGGTACTGCGTCGGCAAAGTAGGAAGTGAAAGTATTGCCACAACTAGTGATTTTCGAGCGACCTCTTCGTTCGAGTTCAAAGAGCGATGGCTGGAAACTATACTCAACTGAACCACCGAAATCGGTAAGGTTGGCAAACATGAAAAGTTCCTTCCAATCCGGATGATACAAAAAAGCATTACTTGCAACGTCTATTTTATAACTTATCTGTGGTGTTAGATCCTGGGAGGCCAGGTAGAGACTCGCACCTTCCCCCACTCTCCAGTATTCCCCATACTGTACCGGAAGGGTTACCCCCTTTCGCAGACGTCACTCAAGAGCGGCTACTTCGACGACTACAACCGATGCTGTCCGAATCCGAATGGGGGAACCCATCGGGTCTTCGTTCCCTATAGCAATTCTGTGTCTGTCAACGTAAAACGTAAGTGCTTTGACCGCGTTTGAACTTCACAAATAACTATAGTTTCAAGGCTTCTAAGATACTTCATAGGAAACTGAATAGCTTATAAATATAATAAATACTTTTAAAGAAATATACTTTGTCCAACCATCTTATTTACAACGCATATAATTAATCGTAAATCTATTTAACAATACAATAACCAGTATACTAATATTTTTGATACATATACTGCAAATTATAAAGTTATATAAATATTGAATGTTTCTAGTTTAAAAAAAAAAATATAATAGTAAAACTTTAATGGTAGCGAAGATAGAGAATAAGTTTATAAAACGGAAAATCACGTGAGCATACGTTATCTTCAATATATGTATTTATTTCGTTTGAAATCGGGCACGAAAGAAACAGTATTTTTTTTACAGTTCCTAATACAAAATTTTTGTAAGTAGAGGAATGTTATTAGCATTCGTTGCAATGCAAAACAAAATTAATAACTGCGAACTCTGATTACTCTATTTTGATTTATTTAAAAATCATTGGAATGGGTACTTACCAGACTCGCATAAGTGTGTCACTTTTTCCTTTTCACCGTGAAAAAAGAATTAGCGCGTGAAAAGTATTTCTGTAAGCAAAGAGGCCTTGCCTGGCCACTATCGAGCTATGTTAATGATCAAGAATAAAGTTCTATACGATGAATTTCAAAGCATGTAGGTGCCAAAGAGTAATGTTACATTTCTTTACAATAATTACTACGTACTTTTGTCTTCACACAATTTCCAAGATGAAATAAAAAACATGAAAATATACATTTTCAGAAGAACTGAGTAGAATCAGGAAATACTTTTCGTCAATTATTTTTTTCTTCTCAATTGAAAAAATTACAACTTTTAAACAATCGATTAACACTGTCAGTTCTGCCGAAAGAATACCCGCCAAAAATCTACTCGTTGTCAAAATCCTATGATCTACAATTCAGTCATCTTAATTCACAAAATCACAACATTTTAAATACTCTAGAATTAGATAACCATTTCTTACATAGGTTTTGTTGAAACTCATTCTTCCCATTGACTGTAGAGTGACTTCTAGAGTCTTCGCTGACCTTGCGAATTCTTGAGATTATTTCTGTAATTCATTTTTCTTAATACATGGATCTATATTTATAACTGTTGAATACAATCGTGCGTCTAATCCTAACATCTGTACATGCCTTAATCTACAAAAATTAATCACTAGAGAAACATGTTCTGTCGTTCATTAAAATCACTCACGAATAGTACGTCTTCAAAAACAGTGTTTAATTTACTGATACAAATGCATACGAGTTTACAATTGTAAAATATTTAGTAACGAACATGTTCAAAAGCAATGAATATTTATAATTTTGCTTTGTGACGCGACTGTCATCCTTGAACTGTATAGTATACCACGAGCATGTCCATAGTCTAAGTAGATAAGGACCTGCTACTCAGGCAGCTATAATAAGCTTATCGCTTCTTGAAAGCGAAACGTGCTGCATTTCCTACAAGAAAACAGTACGCCACGAAAACCGCGCGTCTCCCGGCCTTTCTAACAAAAAATGTTATGTTCCAAATAATAATTTAAATAATACACACAATATTTTACCGTAAAGTTCGTCCAAATCAAACATAAATAATTATTGTCGCCTATGACTCGTCGATCAAAATGTTGCATCGAACCAAATGACTAATTGCTAAGGTGCACGGATTCTCAAAGTTACAAGCTCGAGTCGGGTCGTGAAAAATGGGGGAAAACTCTCAAAATAATGGTACGCGTCGAGATTCGAAAAACAAAGAATTAGAGTAGGGGTAGTTGAAAGTTTCTTAGTGACTAAGGGTACAAGTCCAAATGTCGATGCCTATGACTAACGATGATATCATTTACTTAAGATTATACTGTTATCATGCTAGACTAGATGCACCAAACACGCACTGTTATTTACAAAAGATTGTAACCGAAATCAACTTAAAAATAAGTTGGGGAACCCAGACGACGAGATAAATTTTATTGAATCAAGAATCACAAAATACAAACGTATTTATATGAACAAGTAGAACCATAGAAAATACACATTTTGATCGGAGGGGGCTATGAATACATTGAAATTCTTGTTGAGGAATAATTGATAGTAAAAATATTTTATAACTGAATTAACACGAATCTTATCAACATGCCTATGCTCATTATTTGTATTCTCTTCTCGACATGGAACGCTCGAGCCTCAAATCTTTTACATACAGATGGACTATACTGTATCATACTGTTATATATGAGTTTTACTGACCCGTCCCAAACTTCGAGACTTTCGAAAAACCGCGCACCCCTGGTTAATTGTCCTTTAACGATCGAAGAGTAACGTAAGCCCTAATGATCCCTTTAGGTTCGCAGCCACGTGAAGGTGTCACTTGGTATAACACGCCAGCTCGGAACAGTTCACTGCACCGTTTTCGACCACGATACCAGCAGTGAAACGGCCGCAAGAATCGACAGAACCAGACACCGTGTAAAACTCGTCCCGTTTCAGAACGTATCGTGACAGTAAACCAGATCTACCTCCCCCACACGACGTCCCTTCCCCTCCGAGGAACAAAGTCTACTGGTGGGGGTAAGGTACATCGTCCTCGTGGTATCCCGAACGTTGTGGGGTAGAGACTTGAGGGGAATGGAAACGGGCAGAGATGGTCGCGGAACTCGATAACGCAGGCCTGCCCCGTCTAATTACTCGTATTTACTCGCAGAAGGAGAAGAGGACGGCACAGAGCGACGTAGAACACGAAGAGTCCGAGGTAGTAGGCACGAGGAAGGTCGTCTGAGAGGAACGAGCAAAAGATGGCCTGTCCGGAAAGGCCGGTCACGGTGCTCGCCGTCTCCCTCGTCTACCTTCTGGCACTCTTCGGTGAGTTACCAGGCTGTGTTGGCCCGCCTGCTTTCTCTTCCTAGCCTCGCCGAGACCTCTGGCCTCTCTCCTGCCAAGTTCCCGGGTTTGGCATGTTTTTCGATCACGCGCGCTGGAAATCGCCTCAGTATAGGACTAAAATCGAGAGAAAACGGGTACCGCGTAGCCCCTCTTTCACTGTTTATAGATCATTTTTTCTTAAATTATTCGTTAATAAATGAAGAATGAAAAAATATTGAAATAACTATTGCAAACGTCGGTTTAATATTATACGGGGAAAAATATAAAGTATCAAATATGAAAACAGCTATAAGCCTCATCAGTATTTATAATAAAAAAATACAACAAAATTAATACGTTTTATATATCATTTTATACAATAAAAGACACAAAAGTAAATAGTTTTCTTAGTCAACTTCTTTTCATTCTGTGAATAAGTTTGAAATATAAAGCAATTGTTAATAGTTCTATGTTGTCAATATGCAAGAAGAAGAAATGTCAACTATACGCGTATTAGTCTACGTTACTAGAAATCAGATGCACATTGTTTTAGTACGAATGTTACGTATTACGAAGATCGTTGTGTCTAGAAACCCCAGGGGCTCAATAACTATTGCTCAGGCTAGGCACACCGCTGTTTTCCAATGCGCATGACCGAAAATCATGCCAAATCTGCAACTATACTTTCCTGCTTAACGTCATCCCCGCTACTTTCGAATTTCGTCGCTGATCAAAGTCGATCGTTAACGAAGATGGGCAAAATTCTTATCAGTAAGAAACAAACAATCGTTTGTTTCTTACTCGTTAAATAAAAATGAAAATTTCAATTACGGAAGGAAATATTTCACAATGGACAAATATCGAATAAAATTTTGTCCATCTTCGTTCATTGACTTCTCGAAAACTTTTTTATTCGTTTGTAAATTCACTTATAAATTAATATTCATTAAAAGAATTTTTACACCTAAAAATTAGTACATATAAAATTTGTATTCAATATTTGCGAATAAAATTTACTCGACTCTACCCCCTCAGTGCGCTGATTAAAAGTTGTAATATGTTTGCTCCAGTATAGTTTACCTGACTCCAACCGTAACTTAGGTAAATACAAGTGATATACATTCTTTTCTTTATACAGACTGTTGTTCGTAGGACAACCGGCGAGAAGGTGATTCCTCGTAAGAAAACAAATCGAAAAGAAAGAATAATATTTGTTTATATAAAGCTTCGTTTTCAAGAAAAATCGAGTTTGAAAATATATATTGCGCGTAATAAATTCAAGTTGAGCATCGGTATAAGTAGAAACATTGAGCGCCAGCCAAATCGTATGCAATCGTACGCGTATAAAACTAATTTTTAAATACCATTGTTCGAAAATGAAACATTATTTTCTCTTGCTGTTTTCCCATGCCGCGATAGCGAACAGACGTAGACAACTAAGTTTTATTTATATTTGTTTAGTACTTAGCCAGTTGTTCCCTAATGTATACAGGACAGATTAGTGATGGTTTACTCAAAATCAGTCCCATGAATTTTAAGTTAACCCGGAACAAGTAGACGAAAACTCTAAAAATGTGTAATTCGGTTTAGATACTCTAAATTTTATAATTACAAAGTTACAATTTTATTTGTGTAGATAAGGTAGTAATATTATGCTAAAATTATTTATTCAATTTTAAAATTCCATTGAATCTTTAAACCTATTCTTTCAGAAACCCCAAAAGTAGGCATACATACATATGTCTATTGTAAACCATCGATACTGTAGTTTCTGCAGCTTCATTTCATAATAGAATGTGGTATCTGCCTATTGGCTCTCCAACATATTTCTTTTAGGAAATCGTGGCACGTTCTTTGTAATATTTCAATTTATGGTAACAGTTTCTTGAAAGTCAAATTAAACGTTTAGAAAACTTTTAGAAATCAAGAATACATTAAAATAATATCGTGACCGACATTCAAACGCTTGTATAACGATATTCTGTACATTATTAACAAATATTGATATACTATTTACGTAAAAATAGTTAATAATAAACAAGAAACGTAAATAACCAATAAATTCAAATAGTACTTCGATTCTCTTCGTGATTTCGTTTTTCCTGGTGTTTGTCAGAGTTTCCAACCGGTTGTTTGTCTTTTCTGGACGACAATGTGCGAGGTTGTTTTTTGGTTTTGCATGAATTTGGGTGGTATTTTAATTTCTGGTTTCGAGTGCTATCATCGTGCAAGGTTTAAATCAGGTTGTGTTTCTCAAATTCTAAACTAGGTTGACTTGTATCAATTACACAGTCACTCGTTACTTGCTAGTTTATTTCTTTTTTGGTAATCGACCTCGTACGTAGTTGGTTATCGAGGTTACAGCCTTCAGAAAACTCGTATCTATTCGATGACTCGCAGTAGAATGAAATGTTTGTTCTCGTTATTCGTCATTGGTGCACGCGAACGTTAAAGGAAAGAGATACTTTTACGCAAACTAGTTGAAATTTACTTTAAAAGAATGTCGAAGGTCACTTTTAATTGGGATTTTTATTTCTTTTTGCAGGTTCCTACTGTCGAATGGCACCAGGTAAATAATTCATTTATTTCAAAGTCGTATGAAATTACGATCGAACAGATACATTCCGAATAGAATGTTAAAAATGTAGGACAGGGTGTTTTAACGTAAGAAAATTTATCGACGTAAAGCACATTTGTAATGTTACACAATTGTGGGCCTGTAAAATAGGAAGGAATCCAAACATGTTTGACTAGACACTTGATCCTAAACTATCAACGGGAGCTTAAGTATTTATGGTTCAACATCATTCTGTTTTGCTTTGATATTTCTCGCTGAAAATAGAAAATTCAACCTGAAGTTACTGTTATTCACGGTCAAAACACTTGCGCTGGAAGGATGTAATAATTTGCAACATAAAATACTGATCGTATCTTGATTAATGAGCATCAGAATGCCCGATACTTATTAAAAGAAAATTAAAAAACTTAATGAATATAAAACTGGAATTTGTTACCATATAATTGGAATTTATTATAAAGAATAATATCACGAATCACAAACTCTGACGATGTTAAGTAAATATAAATTTATAATAAACTTATGCATCGATACAACTGTCTCATCTAATTTTTATTCGTTCTTATTATCAACGAGCAATTTCATGATTGGCATTTATCCTCCGTTTAAGGCTTACCTTTTGTTTTATTAAGCGGTAGCAATTTCTGACATATGTGTGTCTGTGTCGTGTAGCAGGGACTCTGTGAATTAACGGTGTCTATCGTTAGATTATGCGGATGTGCGTGAGTGCGTGCGTATGTACACGCAAAAGGGATGCCGGCTGCATACGTCTCATAGTTGGTTTTAGAACAGCGATCCAGACTCTGACGTTTCTATACCCGTTAAATATGTGCAGATTCGTATACAGGGTAGTTTGAGAATACAAACTTCGGTACAGAGTTTCGTACTAACTCTATACTGTCATTATCAACTGTAAATTGAGAGTTCAAAGTTCATTGACACTTTTTAACGGTTGACTGTTTCAAGTAAATTTTCCTAATAGAATTAAATATTTAATCAAAGAGAACTGATTCGTTCCGATAATCGTGGCAAAAACAAGTAATAAATTCATTCGGAAATATATCTCGGAGTATCATCTTTTAATCGATTTTCAGTTGTGTCTGTTTTGATCGCACTTTTGAGTCACCGTGTATAGACGACCGTATGAATACATTTACCCGCGCGTGTACGACGCATAGCAAACACACGCACGTATGTACATATACGATCTGTTGCTGACAGAAGTATTCGCACGATCCCGCAATTTTAAACCTGGACATTACTCCTTGTTGGGCGAGTCTTCGTTTTCTTGCTTTGGTTTTTCGTGTCACAAAGCAAAGCCAAATCGAAACAATTAATGGGAAATTCATTTCAGAGTATTCGCGCGTGTTAAATTCGCAGCTTAAAAAAGGGCTTCGGCATCTAGCGCTATAATCAAATTTACAGTGTAGTTCTAATGTAAACTAAGTGAGCAAAGACGCGTACTATTTAACGATTACTATGTTCGGTAAAATGAACTGGACTAAACTTTAATCCTTTAAATATTTCTTTATTGCATGTACGTCGGAAATTTACGTATGTCAAGGGATTGAGAAACCGAAAATATCTCTTATACATATAATTGTACTGTTCGCGAGAGGAAAGCTAACAAGTGTTTACATGCCCATACTAATTTACAGTCTACTAGACTTCGTCACTATACTCGTCCGGAGTTGGAGAAAATATAATCTGATTTCATTTTCCACAATAAAATTACATGCAATCATACTGTAGCTACACGATAATTAGACAGTTTTTATACGCTTTAAACATATACATTTTATATTTACATAATTGGACTCACACAGGAGTCACTACCTGCATTTAAAGAAACAAGCTAGTTTAAAAAAAATATGAACAAAAAAGTAGCAAGCAACATATTTTACAGAAAGATAGATATGTTTTTTAAATTGCCCTTTCGTCGAGAAATCTTTACTTTTAACGATGGCCTAACGTATTCTGATAAGTTTTTCCAACTGTCTCTAATTTTATATTGTTCCGTGTTCTTCGTAGCGATTGTTAAAAGAGAACTTTCGATGTTGGACAGTGGAACCGGATAATGAAATTGAGCTCTTCCCATGAAAGCTCAATTGCGTTCAGGTTCGCTGACTGTGCTGATCATGTCATTTTCTTTGGGACACCCTCTGTTTCTTTTTGCAATAAGAACCCATCGTTACACAATTTAGATGAGTGCTTAAAGTCGTTATCCTGGTGCATAATAAAATTTTTGCCTATTAATGTAAAACGGCGTGTTGTTTGAGTATCTACTTATAGTCTCCCATTATTATTGTATTTTCTACTTTTATTCGCCCTCGTACTCCGGCTGTTAAGAAACATGCTATAACTGACAATAATACGTCGCTATGTTCGACAGTGGGAACCATAAACTCTAGCAATAGTTTTTCTTCTACAGATCGACGGACAACTATTCTGCAATTACTTATAACTCGAATTTATCGAACCAGCTTCCTCTACAAGTTTTACGATTTTTCGTCAAAAACAACACTTTCCTGTCAGTAATACGGTTGCTTAATCACCTTTTCACCATGGTCAGGAATACTAAATTTCATCTGTCATTATTAACATTTTAAATGGCAATCAAGTGCATCAGAGTTGGGGAAAATTTTATACACAAATAACGAATACAAATTTTAGATCGATTCGTAAACTAACTTCCACAGTTACGGACAAAGTTAAGAGTAGAGGTAGGGAAAATAGGTATAAATTAAAGTTAATCAATGTAGCATAACTGTTATGTACTTGAGTTCTATATATATTATGTATATCTCTATGGTACATAGATTATTTAGTGAATAATTGAAATTACTATCTACATTTGTGTTGGTTATTGGTTCAATTATACTCCTTACTGTATACAGGGTATTCGGCCACCCCTGGAAGAAATTTTAATGGGAGAATCTAGAGGCCAAAATTAGACGAAAATCAAGGACACTAATTTGTTGATTGAGGCTTCGTTAAAAAGTTATAGAAACATTTTCAGCCACACAATATATTTTCGGTAAAGAATTTTTTTCTCGAAAGTACGTAGGATTTCGAGGGTATGTCTATTGACCGTAAATTATTGTAATTGACCCCCGCAACTGAAAATAATTTTTCCAGAACGATTTGAATTTTTTTAATTTCGTCAACTTTCAGCACCCCCTCTGTTGATTTTTCTTAAAAATTTGTTTTTCATTTTTGGTGATTTTGTTTGACGCCCTATGGAAAAGTTGTCTAATACTTTTTTGTAGGTACTCATCAGTTCTACTTTAGAAAAAATTTTCATTGAAATATATTCACTATTGCAGGAGTTATGGCTGTTTGAAAATTGAACCACTTTTATGGGGTTTTTCTCATTTTGTGGGTTCAAGGAACAAGTTTTCGAATATATTTGGAATTTCTACATATTCTAGATTAAAATACGCGTCGTTTGCATTTTGAAACATTAAAATCGTCCAATTCGTTCAAGAGTTATGATGTTTTAAACGTAGGCATGAAATTTTGGGGAACCATTTCTAGCCAAAAATGATATTTTCGTAATTTTTGTCTCGAAAGTGCGTAGGATTTCGAGGGTATATGTATTAATAAAAAATGATTATAATTGATTCCTGCAACCAAAAATAATTTTTTTAGAACAATTTAAAATTTTTTAATTTAATTGTTTAATAACTTTTTAACGAAGTCTCAATTAACAAATTGATATTCTTGATTTTCGTCTTATTTTGGCCTCTACAATCTCCTATTAAAATTTCTCCCAGTAGTGCCCAAACATCCTGTATATTTTTTAGCAAATGGTAAACGTTTCCTCGTGTTGATGTTGTTACATGTTGATTGTACTATGTAGTAAATGTTTTTTACAATCTTGGTCGAGCGCACTTTTAGAAAAACTGTACCTTTTTGCTGCTATACAGTAACTTAATTTATTTCGACGATTCGCTATAATCAAATTATGAATTTGATTTGAAAATTCTCTTTTTACTGACATTCTGCTATTCCCTTAGAAATAATCTGTTTTATACTTACACATCAACCAAATAGTTCGTTCGAGATTACTGCGTGAGAGTAAGAAAGGATACTTGGCGCTTGTTTACAATTGTCCACTCATTTTTGACCCTCGACAATCAATCAATGTTTTCGTTATGTATACATTAATTCAACACAAATGTAAATATCAATTTCAATTACTCGCTAAATAATCTATCTACCATAAAGATATATAACATATAAAACTTAAGTGCATAATACTGCTTTGATTAAATTTAATTTATACTTATTTCCTTTACCTGTCCAGTTAATTTTGTCCGCAACCGTATGTATCAGATCGCCAAGGGAAAGAGCAATGTTTCATGACTCAATCACTGCGCGATCGAGCATTCTATGTTACACTCACACTCACTTAACATACGTATCGACAAACGGCGCGTTCGCGTCAACCCGCATGCGACGCACGCACACATTCGACCGGTATCCTGTGTGTCTCATCGGTTTAGACGAGCGGTTCCGGAGTAACAATGTTTGTCAGTCGACGCGTGACTCTCGCCGGGTCACATTCCAAAATACTTTTCGGCCGGTCGTCGGAGCGTTTCGTCGAACGAGACAACGCCGAGACAATTCTACCCAATTTCCGACGCCACGATAACCATGTATTGGAGGCTGTGCATGATTATTCTTGCAGTGGTGGCAAGGCCAACCAAAGGCTGGGATAAAGTGAGCGGCCTCAAGTACAAGATGACGACGACCTTGCTCTTCAGCGAGGCTGCTCCGACGAAATCCAGCGGGGACGTTGGCTTTCGATTGACTGGCGACCTGGACGTGACAGCCGTTTGGCAAGATCCCATCGACCAGGAAACCTTTCTGCTGAAGATCGAGGTACGAGAACGCTTTCTATCGAAAAAGAAATTACTTTTCTATCGCCGGATACCTTTGACACCGTGGAAAGATTATAGTTGATTAGCGTCGATTGAAAGGAAGTTCTCGAAAGGGACTTCTATGAATAGAATCGCTTCGGCTGGATCCGTTACTCGAGAACGATAAAGCTTTAATGCGCTGTCTTTCGGTTAAAGCAAATAACACTGAACAATCGCAAATATGCATTCTTCGTCCAAGCAATCGATTCTAGTCCCTGTTATTGAAACAGAAGCTAAAAGTGGAAATTTTGTAATTTACACAATTTGATCGCGTAAAATTGCCTTGCGTAAAATAAGATTAAAAACGTTTCTTTTACGAGTTACCTTAAAAATGAATATATATACTTTTCTCTTTATAAATGGTACATTTATCAAAAAACAGCGATAAGTATTGAGAGTGTCTGCGTTCCCAGCGTGGAACCGATAACCTTTCCCTCGAAAAAAGAGTAAACTGAAACGTATTCACAGATAGTAAATTCGTTTCGCATTAAATGTCTTAAGTTTGAAAATTCACTTTCTGAATGTTAGAAGAAATTCAACGATTTAACGTTATATAAAACAGATCAAAATACGAATCAATTATTACAATGTCTAATGAAACGAAAGATATAAGTCAATAGAAAGAGAATATTACTAGTAAGCACGTCGTAGAAGAACCTATATGATATGACATTATAAAATGTCGATCGTTAAAACGGATCATTTTTCGCAGCTCCTGTCGCCTCAGCTATGGATCAAGTCCCGAAGAACTCCAGAACCAGAGGGTTTCGTCGAGCATTCGTCCAAGGTGGACGAGATCGTAAAGAAACCTCTGTTCGTACTATGGAAAAACGGCGACATAAAGTCAGTGTACATGGACCCATCGGAGAGCATCTCCTCGGCGAATCTGAAACGCGGTCTGGCTAGTCTCTTCCAATACAAGGTGCTTGACGATGACGTTCAAGAACTGGACGCCTCTGGGCTCTGCAACGTGACTTACCACTCCCTGGGTCCTAACACCGTAGGAAAACGAAAGACGTTTTGCAAGCATGGCAGTTTGCCGCCAAGGAAACGTCATCCGAATCCGTTGTTCGCCGTAAAGCTCGCGAGCACTCGAAATTCCACTTACGAGCTCACGGAGTACTTTTTACCGAAAATAATTCACGACGAGGAAACGCATAAAACGACATTGACCGCGAGATCTGGAGTCGGTACCATCGTTACATCCAAAAGAACGCTCGAAAGAATACCGGACGTTTTGCCGACAAACATCGCGAAGGTGGATACTTTGGAACAAGCAATCGCGATGTTGCTACCCGGATGTCACGAGACGAATATCGAGCTTCAATTGGAACGGTCCACTTGTCCGAACGACGTCTGTCAAACGGTTAGTATAAAATTAGCGTCGAGTAGTTTTTTGAAACAATTTTAATTAGCTCTGTAAATCACTTCGAATACGAATTCTATTCTGACGCTGTATCGTTGTTTGAAAGATAAGGCGTGTATTTGCAGAGAAGGCACAGAAGATAAAGCAGTGGGATAAGCTAAACGATATGTCAACGACGACCATCGATTATCAATAATCCTCGGTAGTCTGTTAGAGTTAGCTTTCAAGATTAGCTTTCGAGAAAAGGAGCTTTAAATATCTTCCAGGCATGCATATACTCGACCATAGTTGAATTAAAATTAACTGGCCGCTCAGGGCCACTGCCCCGACTGTGAATCATGTCAGATATGACTTATGCTTTTATGGCATGCTTGTTTGCATCTCTCTTTATTGAGGAAAAATGAAGGAATGGTTAATCAAAGAAACATGTTTACTGATTACATTACTTGAGTGTAATATTTTGAGAATCAACAATAATTATCACCCTTTAATTAAATTTTCTATTTATGAAATTATCCAGAGGAAACGAATTTTGTTTACGTTCTTAGTGGCTTTATCGTATTAATCTGAACTAATCTGATGATAGGTTGGTGACCTTCCTCAATATTCCGTAAATATTTCATGTTAATATAGAGATCGTTTCCTAGCCAAAACCAATAACACTTGAAGTCTAGAGAGGCTGGGATGTCTAAAATTATCTATGTTGACATTAGTAAGTTTGTATCTTAAACGCTTTCCGTCTTCTATTTGTGCGTATCTAGAAAATGACTAATGAACAATATAAAGACAACGTATCGTGTACAGTAGAAGCTTCTTTATCCTTTCTGTTATCATACTCTGCCATCGGAACACTCTAATATTCGAAGGTTCTATTATTATTAGAGATGGTTTTGTTCTATAGAACATAATACGCCCTTGTAGAATATTCCCCACCTATTCAAACATTCTTCTCTAACCATTAAAACTAATTCTGATAGTCACAATTTAGTATGAGACTGGCAATGTACGCGTATGCATCTAATAATAGCATCAAAGCGAACCGTGTGAGGCAACAACAGAACAAGAAGCGAAATAATTCATAAATTGGAAAAAAATCATCAAAACTACTGTTACTTGGCATTAAAAACATTTTCATAAAGAATATTTAAATGCCATTGAAATCATTTATACATATAAATGTATAAAGAAACTCGAATAAGTAAAGGAACATTCGCCAAGTGTCACCTCACAAATTTTAATAAAACTCTGAATTGGTTTACTTTTCCCTTCTTTTTTTACCGATGTCTGCAAATTATTTTCTATTAAAATAAAAAGAATGTGTATGCATAATTTTCAAAATAACATTAAAAGGTGACGCTTTGGAAAATAGTTAAATCATTACAACTAAAAAATATATGTATCCTTTATTTTTGGCCGCTTCACAAAACCAAAGCTTTGTTAAAATCGAAGAGGGAGCAGTACTTGACGGATACTCTTTGTAATAAGAGGTAACAAATCATACGCTTTCATTAATTTTGTATTTCTATTATCGATACTCTACCCAGTAAGTAAGGAACGATCTAAAGAAAGTATTTTATTATCCCAAAATTCCCCGCACTCTGACTGTCTTGTTCCTCTATTGGTTCTGTACGTCGCGAGAAAATTATAAGACACTCAATACATGCTATTAGGAAGCAACCATCAGGATTCCACGTGTCGACTTTTTACAAAAAGCTTAACCTGACTCGTAGTTTTGTCACGAAAAATGTAGAACTTGTTTAATATCGATTAATAATTATTCGTCACGCTAATTTATTTTTAGATCGAGCAAACGATCGAAGAATACCGCAGCGCTCTCGAAAGTAGCGCGCTAGGTACGGGAAAATCCGCATCTGCATTTCTGAAGCTAGTACCGTTAGTCAAATCCACCTCGCCCGAAGAACTTCAAAGAATACTGAAAAGCCCGAGATATCGTCAACTGAAAACACAACTCATGGATGTTATTGGTTCAGCGTCGACGTTAGCGGGTCATCAGGCAGTGATGAAGGTCCTCAGGCAAGATGTGGTAGGTGACGACACCGAAAGATACCTGTGGGCTTTGTCTCTATCGCCGACTCCGAACGCGGATGTCGCGAAAGACGTGCTAAAGCGGTCCGAGGAAACGATTCAGAACGACAAAGTTTCCGAAACGTTGGCTCTGACCGCAGCAGCGATGTCTCGCCACCTAGAATCACAAGTTGCTGTTGAGAAAGCCAGAATCAGCTTGGAGATCGGTTTGGACAGTTGCACGGGAGAGGAGTGCAAGCTCAAGTTCCTCAGAGCTCTCAGAAACCTGAGAAGCGAAGCTGCGATCCTGACTCTATTGAAATTTGCAATCAGCGAGAACAAGGCGATCAGCGTGGCGGCTTGGCGAGCACTTTCCGCCCTCTCCAGGGACTCGATAACCCCCGAAGTGAAAATCGTCGCCAAGCGAGTCTTTTACCAAATCGGTGGCCCGAAGAGAGACAGCAGCGCCCGGACTCTAGCGTTAGATATCATTCTCGAGTCGAAACCGTCCAAAGAGGATATCAAGGGCCTGGTGGAATATTTGACCAGCGCAGATCCTGCGTACGAAGTTCGAAAATACTTGAGCCAGCGTTTGGAGCAACTCTCTGAGAAGAACTCCGAGTTGGCAGCGTACCTGGACGAGATTCTGAGGAACGGTGGAACGAACGTGGTCAATTATAACGTATTCTCGCAGCGTGGTCTGAGTACTGCTTTCACGAGGAGGTTTCTGAGATCAGCCGACAGCAACGGGTCCCTGGTGACCGTCCAAGAGATCAAGTCCGGATTGCTAAAACGCGGAGTGGTGAACGTGGTCCTAGAGGTGGACAACCACGAGGAGGCATTGTTCTCTCTCGGGCTGTTCGCCGGTGGTCTGAGCAGCTTCGTCTCGACTTCGAACCAGGAAGAGGACTCTCAAGACGGTGAACAGGCTACCGCGGGAATGGAAATCGACTTTCTGGGCGTCGGTATCAGGCCGTTTGTCTTCTTCTCCGGCCAGGGGGAACTTATGAGCCACGTATGGTCCGGCACTGCGTCCGACCGGACTCCAGCGTTTCAAGCTTTGGCCTCCATTCACAATTACAACGAATACATTCCTTTGGCCTCGGGTTTCGTGGCAGACACCGACGTTCAAGGCGCGGTGAGCTTCGATTTAGCGGGGCAAATACAGTTGAGCCTCTGGTCTAGGAACGCTCAGTCGTCGGTGGACCTGAAAGCCGGGGTCGTGATTCAAGGCGGCACCAAAGTCCGCTCTAATTTCGTGCAGAGCATCGCCGAGTTCTCGATGACGTTGGAGCCAAAACTGGAGTTAGCCACCGACGTGGACTTCTCCGGGCCAGTTTCTTCGTTGTGCATGAGGCTCAGCCAACCAGAGGACGATGTGAGATACCAAGTTTATAAGATCGAGAGAATAGCTGGTAGCAGGCACAGACTGCGAAAGACTAGAAGAACGAGGATGCACAATCCAGGCAGGTCCTATTTTCTAAACCGGAAGAACAACGAGATGTGTTCGAAAATATTCAGTTAACTTTTGAAGACTAAACGGTTGTTGCCGGATGTAATAAAGTTTATAAAGAAACAGTTTTATGGAAAATATTGTTATCCTCCAGTCGTGCATTTTACGCGGCGTGAGAAACTGGCATCGCGTGCGTCCTACCTTGCGTGTGTGTTTATACATAGGTGTAATGTATTTTTGTACTGTAAATCTTGTGCGTGCGCGTTCCTGTGTGCTGCGGTCCGTGGATAGGAAGCAGTGTTTCATTAATAAAAGTCAGTCAAAGTCATTCCGATTATCAATAGACTTATTAGTTTTTAAACTGATTTAATTCGTTTTATTTCTCCGTGTACATGCTTCTGTATAATGACTATCTCTACTCGATTCTTCCGTTGCTTTAAAAAACAATGAAACGTAATATTGAATTTGTAAAACGATTAATGGAAGAAAAGTAGAAATTCCAATACAAAGAGCAATTTTCATGATAATTTTCGTACAATTAGAATTTTACATGCATTTGAGAAATATAAGTGAATATTAATATACATAGATATTAAAATTAATGAAATTTAAAATAACCCAATTTTATATCATGAAATATTTTTACTCAAATATTGGTAATGCAGAGACACTCGATATTAAAGAAGAATTTTTATTTATTCTTGTAAAATATAAAATTTGTAACATTAATGTTTTCGTTTTCGTTTATTTCCACGTGAATTTCTTGGTCCCCAAGACAACGCCATTCCAATTAATAAATAACAGTCAACGTTTGAGACAAGGAAGGCCCTAAATTCATGAAACTTTATAAATTTCTAATTGGCAATTTACAATTTACACCATTTATCAGGAACTTATCAAAATGTCTTTCCAGCAATGACTCACTACTACTATTAATATGAAAATTGTACCTCTAAATAAATAGACACAGTCGAATTTGGTTACAAGGAACACAGTTGCTCCCTTTTATAATCAGAGAAGCATATTAGTTTGCTAAACAGTCGTCTTACCAACTATAATACGTTATACTCTTACTTGCAAACTGTGTGTGTACGGCCAGCTACAATTTAACATTAAATGTCTCGTAAACTATTAACCGTATACAGTCGTACCCTGTATGTACTTATGTATGTACCAATTGGTTCCAGAATAACTGGCATAAGTCACGATAACTATAATGCACATAATTATGATTGTATTAAATTAGGAATACGTTTACTGTCCTTTAACCCTTAAATGGATTCTCAATCTAAGTTTAGTTGTTGGGCCCATGTGAATTCATAAAGTCATCTTTCTCTTCCACCGTACCATGTAACAAATTCTTTAAAATGCCAATTGTTTTATAGTGTAATAAGTTTAGAAATACATAAAGATGGAAATCAACTTTTCTTTAAAGCATTTAGAAAATAACTAATGGCGGATCACATAAATTTGCAAATAATTACATTTACATACATTAAACAATTATTAGTTTAAACTTGCGGAGATCCCAATAATACACTTAAGGGTTAAGATTTTATTAAATTAGACAAAAGTTTACTGTCCATTAAAACGTAAGTCAGGGTATGACTATCCAACTAAAAGCACAATCACTGACTTCAGAATTTCCAGTTCTTTCATCGTGCAAAGCTTCATTAACAAACCACGCACCTAAAGACCTTTCGTCAGTATTCAACTCTCAACGACAACCACACTCTGTAACAACCATGTCCTCGTATCCGTATTGATAAGTCAGAGTTCCACTGGAATCCAGATACAACAAACTCGTAGGCGCGAGCATGGTTGGAACGCAACACGCCCTTCCGACGGGTTTATTGGCGCTCTCGGAGCCCTGGAGGGCCCCGTGTATCAGGGTCTGGACGATCGCGTGCTTCGTGGGACTCAAATGGTCCCCGAACGGATAGAAACACTTTCCAGCGCACTGATACGCTTCGTAACCTGGCGGTGCAACGATCCACTCGTCGTACGCGATCAGCGAGAAGTCCACATACAGAGAACGACGCCTGCAGGAGTTTCTGCGTCTTCTGCGCGAACCGTCGCTCTCCTCTTGTTCCTCTTCCGGAGCGGAACGCCGAAGACGGTTCTTCTTCGTCTTGCTGTAATTCAGCAATAATATCGGACTTTCGCCGCATGGACGATACCCGACTCTTCCGTACACTCGAAATCTAACGATATTCCCGTCTCTTGCAGCCACGCTGAAGGTGACGTTGAAGGCCCTCCAGCTGTCATCGCGCCTCGACTTGCAGCTCACCGACTTGTTCGTCTGGTCCAAACGCACCCTGAGGATGGCTCCCGCGACACCGAGGAGCTCCGCGACTTCCAGAGTCTCGTCAGGCTCGGTTGGGGGCACCGAGAACGCCAGGATCCTGGCTCCGTCGCTGGTCGGGACGGATGCGCGAATCGGTCGAAGAGCTCGAACTATGTCCACGTCCGATTTTCGATGGTACAGCTCCAGCATGTACCTCGACACCGCGCCACGGTGCTTTCCGTCGATCGTGTCGCCAGTTCTCCTGCTCGTTCCGTTGGACAGTCGACGAAGAACGGACGGAGACGACGCTGGAATAGAAAGGTCGAACCGTATCGAGGCTTTCGCGTGCACGGCGGACGTATGCCAGGAGAACGTTCCCGTTCTCCACAGTCCGCACACGCACATGGTACCGACGACCAGCAGCAAGATATACCGAAACGAATCCATAACGCCGTAGCGAGATTTTATTGTGTAGTGGCGACGAAAAATCGCATGATTTCGACCCGATGTCGATCGGATTTCGCATCTGACTGCAAACGAATCCTTGGGTCGGTCGGTCGCCGCTGAAGGACCGCTTTTAAATAGCTCGCCAATGGCGAGCGGCGATTCGAAATTGCCGCTGGAATGCTCTTATCACCAGCAGACCGCCACTCGACACCGGGGCGACCCGACAGGTCACGATGCTCGTAAAGCGCGATCGCGCGTGCGCCTGTTTTACCAAGGGGAGACGCGTCGGGGTAGCTTCTAAGGGTCGTTGCAGTAGCCAGCATCGATTCAACGGCTGACGTCATAACGCCGCAGACGCGCCAGCGAATAACTGCAACGCGTGTCGTTCGGCAAGATTAGTGTCATGCCGTGGCTCTGACCTGAGTTTTCCGCTGGCACCGGCCAGCCACGGTTTTTTTTCTCCGTCTCGAGTTCCCTCCTGGCGAATCCTATCAGTCAGTCTGCCACGAAGATCGCGCGACAGCCCGACAAATTAGTTTAACAGTAAGTACAATGCACCGCGTAAACGGGTTCCGGTTTTGTACAGTCTCCCACGGTGAGGAGGATCGTCCACCCCTCGATTACGCATTGGCGAATATGAAACACCTGCATAAATTAAATACCGTTTTAGCAAAAATTCTGTTATTATGGGGCACCGTAGGAAACAGATTGTATAAATGTTTCGAACGTTGCTATAAAGAATTTAGTAAAAATCTAGAAAAACCTCTTCGTTGATTTTTAAACGAAGAATGTTATTTTGAACATATTCAAAATCCCTTGGAGAAATTAAGATAATCGATTTTAGTTTCTGAGATATAAGCAAAGTTCCTTTTCTACTGTTACATTGATTTGTGGCTATACATATTGATGATCTTTAATAAGCCCATTCAATATTTTAACGCACTCGACCCTTCTTGTTGGATGGTCGTCTCTTTAGTCTTTAAATAACAGATTTTTCTACTTCTTAATTATTTAAAATACTTTGGACTTGGACGTGGTCGACTGAAATACACACTTTTTGTATAATACATATCGTACATATCAAGAATATATCTATTGTATACTTATATACTATATATGTACTTTTTGTTTAATATTGTTCATGCCCCGTTTCTATTTGTACAACTCTTGACGATAAAAATAACCGAAGATAATTAAACTATGTATTTTTACAACCGCGCGCATAATTTTACAAATATAACATTCGCGCCATTTTGTGTACACATGTTCTATGTAGTTGGTCTGATCAGCATGTTTTGTTATTAATAGTGTGCATGGTATGCATACACATGTATTTTTATGGTACACGTGGCATGTGTCAAATTTTTGTAGTGCACTGTTGTACGCAAAACGTATACAGTGGGTCAAACAGTCTTCGTCCACGTATTTCATTCTACGTATGCTCTATAAAATTCGTGTACGATGACTTTCTGACTGTGTGGAGTTGTTTGAACACATTATGCAACACCCAGGCTTTCGCTTGCCTTGCTGCGTGCTTTTGGAATCATTATTTTGTTGAATAATGAATGACTCTCCAAGATTCTATTCCTGTACACTGCAGTACTCGTCAACTATCACCATCGTGTCTCACAATTGGGTACAAATTCTTACACTACATCTATCGATTGGACTTTAAATAATGATACCGTGTTCCAGAAATTTTAACGCTCATCCACGTGTGGTTTTGCACAATCCATACATTTTTGCTTATTGATTTTACCGATAGAATACTACTTTTCTTTAATTATTATTATCGTCAAGACCGTAAACATAATTAACTGTTAAAAATAGCACACTTGCTACTTGGCTCCAATTTTTGTAAACGCGTAGTACACTTTCAATTTTTAAGAGAGTCTCTCTATATCATAGAAAAATAAATATGTATTTGGAAACATTTCATCGTTCAGTAGCATCTTATTGTAACGCGAGTAGGAAATGCTTGACCATCTGTATCATATCGAATGATATAACGCTACGGTTTAACATATGTATTTCATTGGTTGATATTTTATAAATGTAAGCATACGAATACTCTTGTGTATGAGTGGGTGGAATAGCAAAGGTGGTGGACGATTTTCAGTGTGAGCCACGGTAGCTGCGCACAAGGGTTTCGTGTACCCTTCAATTCAGTGAAACGGAGCATGAACGCAGTTGCAAGCAACCCAGCATATGAATCGCGCCGACGCTTCTTTACGCGTGTTTCGAGCACGCATTCTTCGCGGTGCTGTGAAAATTTGTTTTTATCATTTCTTTGTTGATATTTATCGTGTTTGTTCGTTTGTGCCGCGTCACGTTTGGTTGACGTAACAAAATCGTTGCCTGGAAACTGAGACAGTTCAACGACAGTTTAAATCGGTTACTCAAACAATTCACAAGAATATTCCAGTAACAATAAAATAGACAAATGCATTTCAGAATACAGTTTAAAAAATGTCTTACTTTCTAAATCAGAGAAAAAATTCAAGAAAATGTCAGGAAATTCGTAACAATTCCTTATTTGATATGCGTACATTTTGTTTTTATTAATACACTTTTTACATAACTTAAATGTGCATATGTACATAACCTATGAAGGTGAAACAAATTACTTAAATTTTTGTACAATAATTTAACGGATAACAGCATTCTTTTGTTAACATTAAACAAATTTCTTTGAAATATTTAAACATTACCAAAGTTATACGAGTCCAGTAAAAGTTGTTCAGAAGCTTTATTGAAACTAAATATTTGAAATAATTAAATGATACTCGCCAAGATATCTAGAATTTAAACATAATTTTTCTTGCGTAATATTCTATATACATACAAATAGAAATAATACATCTCGCATGGCTGGATAATTAGAGTGAAAACAGTTAAAAATCAATCAAATAATCGGAGAAAAAATATTTAAGTTTTGAAATACAACCTAATCTCGGACAAAGATGTTGAAAGGTAATACAGAATTAATATATTTGAAAATTAATTTGTACGTAATTAAACAAACGTTAATAGCCTTCTCTATTACTGAAAATAACAAGAATTATTTTAACGTATTTCTATCCGAAACTTTTAATTTACATGCATACGCAATCGAATGGAATGCTGAATTGAAATTTTGTGTTTCGCTTTTATACATTTCGCGTATCATCTGTCGAAACCACAGAGATCGAATTCTACGCTTACCTCTTCTATTTCGCAAAACAATATCTTCTTTAGCCCGATCAGTTGTTTTTACTGTAGACGAAATTTTTTGAAGGAAACTTGAAAGATGTAGAGCATAACTGTCTTTCATAACATTACCGATCTGTCCGCTTTACAGCCTGGTTGAAGAATAAACGCGCGAAAAAGTCTAAAATATGGAGAACATAAGTTATTTTAAGGTTCAGAGTAGAGGAAGCGATGAAAGAGAATATTACGATTTTCAATCTTATTTATCTTAATGTTTATTCAGTTTGTTTCCGATGTATAGTACCTTCTATTCTTATTATCCTATTGTCAAACAAAATATGTTTTTAAAACGACCTCAAGAAGATTATCGTAAAACTTCTTTTCGCAAAGTTAAAATAAAAAAAAAGTGTCCTAATACTTATGACCGGTAGTGAACATGTATTTTATTAGCAGATTATAACATGTTTCAATATTTCTAGAGTGATTTAAATGGTTCTAAACAAAGTGTTACAGTACCAGTTTGAAGACTACCTACCTTATTTAGGCGGTGCAGCTGGAGTCCTCGTAGTCACCGGCATTGCGGCCTACCGTGCATCCAGACCAAAACCGGAAAAACCGCTATGGCCGCTTGATGCTCAGTCCGTATTACTTCCGGTGAGTAGACACCCCTCGTGGCGTTAATTACGGCTTACCGCTTGAAGTGCTTGAACAGAAAATCGGCTGATGAATATGTTTTCGAGAAATTACAAATTCGCGAATTTCACGTCGTGGATACTTGTTGCAGGAGAACGACGCGGACATTCAAACATTTTTCTTGCAACTTTATTTGTAACGCTTTGTACTCGCACGCTTCTGCAACCGATCTTTTGAACAACATATGGCACTTGGTTCACTTGAACGGTATGAATTCGCGGCAAGTCTTGTCGGAACGTCGATTACGATAGCATCGACAGGGTGTCCCACGTAACCGAAAAAAGCTGTATCTCTAAAACGGGTAGAGATACGAAAAAAAAATGTCGTAAGGCAAAATTACACGACATCAATGGTACGAAAATTATAATTTGATTCGTTTTGTATCCTTCTTTTAAATGGAACTCTATAATTTTGATTAGACTACTCGACGCGGATCTCTACGTTCTCACTTGCTTTCTCGCGCAAAACGATACTCGAGGAGATTCAACTTACAATTAGGGGGTGTGAAAATAGAGGAATGAACCTTTTAAACGACTCACAGTATTCGAAAACGACGATTTAGACGCGAAAAAATATATTTCGCCTTAAAAGTGCCATAAATCCTTAAAAACAAGTTTACGAACGATTATTAACACTGTTAACATTAATTTTACTTAATAATTTTTATATTATTTTATGTTAAACGAAAATTAAATTATTCAATTAAAGAAAATAACGAAATGTATTTATTATGAAAGTTTCACTGCTACATAACATTTTGAAAGAAAATAATTGAAAATAGGAGTAATAAGAATAAGATTCGCTAACTTTAAAGTTGTATTATTGGAAAAGATGATTTTCAGAGAAACCAAAGAAATGAACATAAACTACAAGCCTGTGGTGGAATTTTGACCAATACGTACCAATCTAATAACTTCTATTCCAAAAACTTACGATAGCTGCATACTAAAATTGGTTCTTTTCAATTACCTGTATTTAAAATTGTAATAAATTTTGATGAATTGTTTTTATTCTAAAATAAAGCGTGTACCTTTCTGTGTAAGATTCATACAGCACAAAATGAAATTATTGTAATACACTGTAATTTTATATTGTAATTTTCAATTTTTATAAGTTGCTGTTAAAATAATGAAAAGCAAAGTGTATATGTATAGTGTGCATATTTGAAATTGTGTTAAGAAACGACATTCTGTCAAAGAAGGATAAATTGTATCCACTAGATAAAGGAGAAATTACAGAAAGTCTAGCTTCTTTATGCCAACTTAATAGTCGTGGAGCTTTAATAAAATTGTGTCTTCTTATGAACGAGGCACATTTAATTCAAGTTCCGACTTAATTTCAGTAAGTATTTTACTGAAATTGATCAGTGTGTTAGAAATTAAAAGTTGAGAACTGAGAGAAAGGTACTTCTTTAGTCCCCCTTTTTTATTTTGTCCATATTGATCGAGATCTTTTTAAAAATTCATCACAACATTGAAAGGGCGATTAAATCTATGTGCAATATCACGTATTTTCACATTACTTTCGTGAAAATTATAATTTCGCCTTTTTCTTGCTCACTTAAATAACTTCCACGTGACATTATTAACCAAATTAATTTTATCACACTTTCAACACACTAGACAAAACAAAACTGACGAAATATCGACAGAAAACAACATTTGAATGCTTGGTTCTACATATAGTTATGAAACAGTAATGAATCAATTTTCTGTAGTTCATTTTTTTAGAATAAATATAATTCAACTTAAAATTCTAAGGAAACATAGATTGTTAACGTGAATGTATATATAATAAAATTGAAAATTTAAGGGTAGTTTTATAATTATGACACGCAGTGTATCATTATTTCCTAGAAGGAGAAATACGAATTGCAAAAACAGATTTCTAAAAGGAATAGAAACGTCGAGTTTCTTAGTCAAAATTAATCTATTTAAACAATTTCTAGGGATAAATAATGTTTCAAACGAAGATCCTCAAGGATATACAAACTTAATGGCACCTAAAGTAAAATGATTGGAGATGGTAAAAAATTGGACATTTTCTTGTCTAAATCGCCGTTTTCGAACACTGTGCGACCCCAGAAAGAATAATCCAAATATTAACAACGTTTTGGCCAAGCGTCCCAATACCTATGACCCGTATAAACGGATCTTTAGTCAAAAGCTAAAACAAGTATTGACACGATCAGAAAATCGATCTCAAAAGCGCCTGAATCCCAGTAAATCTGCAAATATTTGTCAAACAATCGAGTAATCTCGACAAATCGATTCTCGTAACGTCCGTCACGATAACATCGGTAGGAAGCAGTAGGCGCGTATCGTCGATAAGTAACAGGATTATCTTCCCGTCCGCTTGTAAAACGACTGTCGTTACCCGAGAAACAGGCTTAACGAATGCTTTCCCGTAGATCCCTCCCCGTCAAAGCCCCTATGTTGATCGATTTTTTTCGCGGCTGGCGATCATCCAACAAGTTTGGTGTCCGTCGAGGACGACGCTCGTTCCACCAGCTCGGACCACTATATTTAAATATAGTCGAAGATCGTCGTAGAGGATGGACGACGGGCTAGTCTTATGTGCGAGCTACTGATAGCAGCCGCTCCTCTCGGTGGAGCAGCAGCAGCAACGGCATCAGTACTACTTCTGACAAGCAAGCTGTTCCAAAGGCGAAGTCTCGCGACGAAGTGAAGCTAATTCTTGCGGCCGCGCGGGCCCCTCTCTCGTTCGAAGTAGTAGTGCATCGCGGAACAAAATCCTCTGGTGAAGAGATCAATCAGGCCCGTAGACGCTCGTACGGGGCTTCCTCTGTGCAGCGTTCGCGGACAATCCAAGATATGTCGTGGAGTTGTTTCGCCCCCGAGCCCATTCGACCACCGATCGATCTCACCGATCAATCCGACACAGTCAAGGTGGAGTGTTTCAGGTTCTCCGTTAACGCGTTATCACTCGAAACACTACTAACGATCGTTCCCTCGATGCTAGGTGTTCTTCGTCGATCGTGCCACTCGATGACCCTCTCCGTCGCGGAACAGTTTCCCGTGATTTTCTCTATTACGCGTTAACACAGTCGAGCTGCATTCGAACCGGGCAAAACATTCTGATGAAATTTTCGGGTCGTACGCTCGGTTCGTTCGAAGGTGTGTGGGTGGCCAGACTTGTTGCACAAGCGACTTGGCATCGCTAGGAGATCGAAACGTCGGCTCGATGGGTGTACAGGGAAACCAGGAAGCGTTTCGTCCCGACATGCTTTCTCCTCCGGAGACGGTCACCCCGGTGGGACAAATAGTTCCGCTTTCTCCTATGCACCAATCCCGCTCCATGCACTGGCTAAACTTAGATTTGCACTTGGCATTCCGTTACGTAAGCCGAGAATACACCGGATTTTCACGTGTGCAAACGTTTTGCAGGGTACCGACCTAATCAGAGTGTCGAGGTTTTATAAGGACAGCAAGGAGGGAAAGTTCGTAAGCTACATACACGAGGACACGAGAACCCTGTATGACGGTTTCCGCAAAGGCGCCAAAGAGTCCAGTAAGTCCCGTACATAATCCCACACGCTAACGCTACAGAGAAACCCGTGTGTGTCGCATTCGCGTTTTAAATAAACGAGCAAAGATGGGCTGCACGCGGTCGCGTAATGGACCGTTTGGCAAGTGGCTGGCTGGTCACGTTCACATGACAAACACGCTTCGCGAACGCAGCCGACTAATAAGCTCGTCGATCGTTCGTTCCGCCACCCCCGATGGATTCTACGCGATTCTTGTCGATCCTGAGATCCGACAAACTTGTTATTTAATTCGACGCGGTTTTTATTTTTAACTCGCGAGGAACCCACGCCTCGCACGCTGTGACACGGGACACCTGTCGTTCTCAGGGACGCTCAGTTTACCGTTGGGCTCTACGAATCTTAGCTTTTAAATCTTCGAACCCTAGAGAACTCTTTAAAGTCTCGAAAGTCTCGATAGAATCGACTGCGTCGAAAGTTTTGATAGTAGTTGTTCAATAGAATCGGTTTAAGGGGGCAGTCTCATGTATGCGTTGCAAAATTTAACCATATTTATTAATTTTTTTTTCACTAAATGTTACATCTAACGTTATAATTTATTTTCGCAATTTACTTAACTATCCTTTGGGAAAACAAAATAAATTTTTCAATAATTCTCATTGACTTTTCATGGTTTTATTACGCCCACAGTAAACATGTATTTAAACACTGATATAAGTGATTGCAGCTCTCAAGGTTGACTAAATCAAAAAAATCGAAAAGATTTTTATTCGGTACGTTTCCTGTTATCGCCCGAACCAAAATAATTAATTTAAACATTGGCGAAATGACGAAAGTTTAAATTAAAGATTGCAAAATTTTGTCATTTTTCCCCAAAATTTTTAATAAAAGAATATGATAAAGTCATTGTAAAAATATAATTTTAGTTCAGACGAGAGCTGCTAGTATGTGAAACAACGTGTAAAAATTTCAGAGCAATCGAACTTATTAGTTTTTGAGATTTTATCTACGCCGATTGAGAAAATTACATTTCGAGAGAAACGAAATTTAAACTCTGCAAGATCATATTAATCAATCTCAGCTCCATATAGAGTTACTTCCAGAGTGTTGGCATCCAGATAGCACAAAATTTAGAATTTTGATTTTTAAAAACAGCAGATGTCTCTTGACCGAGGGCTATGCAAAAAATGTTCTGGAATCCATAATACTTGACATTTATCTCTCAAAATTTAACAGTACATTTTTAAAAATATACACTTTCAAAAAATGAAATAAAGGAAAATTGATTTTTTTGAGGTCTCACATGACACTGCCCCCTTAAACATAGGAAAGGGTAGCGAGCGAAAGAGAAAGAGATTCGAATGTTAAAGCAATCACGTTACAATATTATCTCATTTCGACGTCGAACTTGACCCTGCACCGAAGCCAATAATACGTAGTAGACTGAAGAAAACCGAAAATAAATAAAGTAGAAACGAAGTGTGTGAGAAAATAATATAACGTTGAAACTTTCAAAACTTATCAAGACTTTTAAGAGTTCTAAATTTCGAATGTAAATTCGAACCCATTCGAAGTGCTTCAGATTCCATCGCTGCGCGTAGTGTAAGTTCGAAGCGTTGCGAATGATGTTGCATCGATCTTATGAAAAATCTCGTTTTCCCTTTGTCGGATAATAACAATGAAACATTAACTAAAGAACGATGGAAAGCGATACTAGACCGTTACAATCTGTTTCCTTGGAAACTATGGTGTTATGACAACAATGAAATCGCTCTTCGATGCTTGGCCACTACATTTCTTTACGCAATAAATAGTGAAGAGGGAAATTGATCCAATAAAAGTGTTTTCTTAGAAAATGATTGTTAATAAATTGTCGGAATAATTTATTCAAGAATATTGACATCAAGAAAGTTTTAATTAAGAGAAAATTATAAATCAATTTCGACGATATTCATAGATCTCTGTAAGGCGATCGATGATACTGACAAGAAGTCAAAACAAAAACGGCAACAATGGCAACAATATTACCAGAAAACTATGTAGTTGTACGTTGGAGTAAATGTACAGTACAAACAGCTCTTAAAAAAATTAATTTTAAATCGATTGGAAAGAAGAAAAATCCAATATCATCGAAACAAAACATTAAATTGGCTTTTACAAAATAATATAGAAATTGACCAGTCGATAATTAGAAACGTGTTATATGGAACAAATGAAAATGAATAGAATTTTATCCGAAGGTTTTTAAATAGGAAAGGGAACACTTAATAGTATAGAAGAAAATTTGTAAACAATATTTTCTAATGAAAACAGCTTGTGGCACAACACGTACATATTTATTTCTTACGTGAATCTTTAACATCTTACGAATCGATATATTTAAATAGTTCGTTTCGCATCGAAGATTTATGTCCCGTTGAAAACAAGTGTTTCGTAATGATTTCGTGTTTCTTGGTTAACTGCATTATATTTCTATACCTAGATCTAAAAAAAGCGAACGAAGCAAAATAAGATGTCGGCCTTAACATACGCTTTAAATTAAAACGAACATTACAAAATAAGTATCTTATTTATTAAATCCTTAATATGATCTGCAAAACGGTTAACTCGGAGTGCAAAGACTGTAAACGGAGACACGTAAACTTAATAACAAAGAATACAGATTGCTGTTTAAAATTTAGCGACCACTGTAATCAGTCGAAAGCGGCATGAAATTTCACCTTTAATTGATAACCACGTACACACCAACCGAATGTAGTGTAAGATTCGATCTGCACCTGTTTCGAATGAAGCGGTGAGCTTCGCTACGCGTGCCCGGAAAAGCATAAATTACCGTTCCAAACGAGTAATCGTGTCGTGCTCCTCGTTCGAAAGGCAATTAATCATAGTTCCGGAAGAAGATGTTATTCTCTACTACACTCTAAATCCGAATCGTTTAATCAGTACACCCGTCGCGATCGTAAATATCATCCGACTAACTTATCAAGCCACGTTGCACAGTGTTTTAAAACGCGTGTCTGACCGCGATAAAGTCATCATTCTGATTATATTCTATTACATAACTTACGATGTTTTGATATCTCTAAATCTTCAAGGATTAGTAATTTTCACTATTGTTTACTTATTGAGTACAATAATACATACATCGAAGACTCTCTTCTATTGTAATAGGTGACGTTGACAATGAAATATCGTAACTTTCAGAGATTTTGTAGAGGAAGGAGCATGCAGATCGACGTACGAAAAAACAAACTAAAAGATAATATCTTTAAACTCAAGTATTAAAAACAGAAATAGAAGCTCTGTGATAGAATAACTTATAAATAAATTAGAAGAACGAACCACAACGTTCGTTGCAGATCGATAAGTTGTAGATTGTACGATAAAGAAATGATTGAAAAAGTAAAAAAAAATTTGTTTTAACAGGATTCGAACCTGCGGCAAAAGAAGATTGCACTTGCAGGCACACGCCTTATCAACCTTTTTTTTTTAAACAATTATAAATATAATAAACCTAAACGTACAAACGGCTATCATATAACTAGAAGTACAATTTAGACTAATGGTTCAACATAGAGCTCGCATAATCTTGACATTAAATAATGTCCATCGCACTTGATGCTACTTACAAGATAGTTTTAAGAATAGTTACTTATACTAGAGGCAAAATTTAATATTTTGTATAGAAAAATGGCACCGCAAAAGCTATACAAAGCATAATTAAATCGAGTTACATACAGAGAGGGAAGTTGTTTAGGATTAATTAAAAAAAGATGAGATACTTAAGATACTGAGATCATTTAAATTCGCTGCAACCATCAGTACTTGTTAGTGTTGAGTCGGTGTTTATCTTTTTCGTAAATACTTAAAAGTCTGTACGCCTTATCAACCACGCTACGCTGGCTACTGATGAATGTACGTAGTTCTATTTCTGTACATAAGTACCTACTAATAACTTTAATGTTAAATATCTAAAAAATTATAAGTCGTCTACGCCCAAAACTAGGTATACCATTTGATTCAATAGCGTCAGGCCTCGGAACCTCTCCTTGTTAGTTTACCTGCGTTTCGAGAAAAAGACGCGTTCAATGTTTTATTAAAAAAATAGTATTGCAACGTTTGTAGGTTGATTTATAATTCTTTTTGAAACACTGTGCGTCGTTCTCCCTGGATGTCTCCACGCTCGAGTATCCTCCTGCGTAAAAATTGCCGTGGTCACGCGTCTCGGCCGTTATCCCGTGACACCCGCTAGCGAATGTTGGCAGATCGCGCATACGCCGACAATTAACATTCCTTGACTCTCGCGAAACCTGGCCTTCGTCCGCTCGCTTCCTCCTTCGGATCGTCCCGAAATCATTGGCTCCTCTTCTTGACGCGCAGACAATGGCCCTTGTCTCGGCTGGCGAGATGGGCCCAACAAACCGTACCAGTGGATTCACTACAACGAGACTCTGCTCAGGGCGAAAAATTTCGGATCCGGCCTGGTGTCGTTGGGGCTGCAACCGGGCTCTCACACCCTCATAGGCCTCTACAGCCAAAATTGTCCCGAATGGATCCTCACCGAACAGGCATGCTACACGTATTCCCTCGTCGTCGTGCCCCTCTACGACACGCTGGGCCCAGATGCTTGTGCTTTCATCATCAACCAGGCCGATATCAGCCTAGTGGTCTGCGAAAACGATAAAAAATGCAATTTACTGCTTGACAAGGCACCAAGGTACGTAACACCGTTTGATTTGTGGTATTTTATTGGGTCTGAGTGTCCAGATTTCCACGATTTCCGTACGCAGTGTTGTGTAAACTCGAAGCTCTCGAAGCTTTGAAGCTTGAACGTTAAATGCTGAGTTTTTTTTTAAACTATCGTCGTACGAAGCTCGTGCTATCGAGGCTTGTAGGTTGAAGCTTTAACGCTTAGCTCTCAATGCCCTTTCTCTTACGATATTATTAACGATTTTAATGATATGAAGTCAACATGTCTTTGATAAGCTTCTTTTTGTTATCAAATAACCAGCCCTCGAGAAAGATTTAACTACTTGTAGCAGTAAAACATAATTATGTGACGCGGTTACTTTACAGATCGTAAATTGTATGTAACGGCGAAGTAAATAAGTTCGATGAAAAGAATCTTAAACTGAAAGTAATACGTTGCATCGGATATTAAGTGTGGACAAAAATCATAAATTTTTCGTCGCGATAAAACGAAAACGTAAAGAAAAATTTGATATTTTATCACATTTTCGAACGGACGATATCATAAATTACCTATTACACGCTATGTATAGTGGCAGCATGCCATGGACGAGGATATGTATACATTTCTACATATCTTCGTCTGTACAATGTACGAACCTCACGTGGTATACGAGTCAAATTTAAATTTCCCGTGCAATGTCCTGAAACATTTGGCAGTTTAAAATAGCTCGACTTTTCATTACAGTTGCAACTTAAACGATAGAAAACCTGTATATGTATATGCTGGCCACGCCATTTTCAATCCATCGTATCCAAACATTTATCTTTGTTTGCAAATACAATATTATTGTACTACATTTTTTTCTTTAGTAATAAAGTATTTGACAATCATTATCTTCTTACTTTTACGTTTATACATAGAATATAGCTCTTCACAAACCGATCTATTGTTTTAAATACTTTCTTTCAACACTGAACGTAGCTTCTTTTCAGTTTTCTTAAATAATTCGGTACTCCATTTTGAAGCGCTCGACACATTCGCAGCCGTTGATGTAATTTACGTAATTTTTAAATCTATAACTGTTCGCCACTGACGTAATTCTACGTCATTTTGTATTTATAGGGAGGCAGATTACTTTATGATTCATATTTGTGATTACAGCTGCTATCTAACGATGAATCGATTGAAATATTTGAAATAGATTCACGTATATCATATTTATATACGTATAACAAGATACACTCATGCACGAAATTATTCATTACATAATGAAATGTGTACGTTAAACAGAAACGTATATCTATTCACCAAAAATGATTGTAAGTGACCCTCGCAACCGAAAATAATATTTCCAGAATGATTCGAAACATTTCAATTTCGCCGAAAAATCTGTCCACCTACACGAATTTTTTCCTCGACAGTGGGTAGGATTTTGGGGGTAGGTCTATTCGCCAAAAATGATTGTGATTGATCACCGCAACTGAAACTAATTTTTTCAGAATGATTTGAAATTTTTCAATTTTACCGACTTTAGCTACCTCTTGTCGATTTCTCTTAAACATTCGTTTTCGATTTTTAATAAATTTGTTTAATGCTGTCCGGAAATGTTTAGTACTTTTTTGTAAATATCCATGAGCTCTACTTCACCACTAAATTTTAATTAAATCCATTGACTACTGTAGGAGTTATGGTCGTTTTAAAATTGGACCACTTTTATGGGGGTTTTCTAACTTTACGGTGTTAAGGAACAACTTTTCGAATATTCTTTGAATTTCTACATATTCTTAACTAAAATACGCGTTGTTTGCATTTCGAGACATTAAAATCCTCTAATCCGTTCAAGAGTTATGATATTTTAAACATTTTCGGGGAAACATTTCTGGTCGGACATTAGATTTTCGGTAAGGAATTTTTTTCTTGAAAGTGCGTAGGAATTCAAGGGTTTATGTAATGACCGAAAATGATTGTAATTAACCCCCGCAACTGAAAATAATTTTTTCAGAATGATTTGAAATTTTTTAATTTCTCTACAAAATTTCTGCCGCTTTGTCGATTTTTCTTAAAAATTCGTTCTTGATTTTTAATAAATTTGTTTGACGCTCTACGGATATGTTGTTCAATAATTTTTGGTAGATATTCATCAGCTCTGGTTCGTAAACAAATTTCAATGAAATACATTCACCATTGTAGGAGTTATGGTCGTTTGAAAATGGTGGTCTACTCGTATATCTCGTCTGTGGTAGAATACCATTCCCGTTGGCAGAAGTTCTGTTGATTAATTATAGAAGGGGCAACAAATTTATAAATGCAATTCTTTTAATATATAATTTTACTGAAGGTTGGAAACACACCTGGAACTTGAACAGTTCTTTGGAGGAAAAATCTCAACAAACTGTGACAAAGTCAATACTTCTTTTAACACCACGTCGAAACTAATTATTCGATTGAAAATTCCATACGTGCAACGGGAGAGAATAGTATTAGAAACCACCACACAAAATTTTAAGTAAATCGGATGAAAATTGACTGAGTTATTGCACCGCCCAGTTTGAAAAATTTAGTTTTGAGAAAAATACGTTTCAAGTTGTGCACCAAATTATCTATGAAATAATGTTAGAGTTTTTAAAGTTTCTAAGGGCATCCACTTCAAGACTCTAAAACGTATTTTCTGTAGAAAGATCATCGTCATCTCCTTCATTTATATCTCCTTTTTCTTTCAATCGAACGTCATGCGTCGCTGTTTTGTGTTTTCGCTGAACAGCGGAAAGGCGAAGCGTGTCCTGTTTGCGTCAATATGCGTTTACCTGTGGTCCAATTTTAATATCAAGGATCTTTATTATTTGTAATAATCCTGAGTAACCATCGTTAAATTGGATTACAGCTATATAAGTTGCCAGTTGGATCACTTTAGTCGTGTATCGGTAGATTTCATTCACACCACTTATCACTTTAGACTAAATACTCTTGATTCACATAGTTATTTCGACCAAAACACTTCCCATTCATATGAAACCTTTACCACAGCAGAAATAATAAGAGTTTCAAATGAATGTCCCGAAGTAAAGAACAGTTAGTTCTAAATCTTCTGTAACTTTGTCATTTTTGGGAATTTTACTTTAATATTTTAAGAGGTCATTCTTAAACCGTCATGCATTGAAAAGAGATAAAAAAAATTTCGATTTTTTCAATCAGTCAGTGATTTCCCCCCTTAACGAGACGTTACTGTACGAAATGCGTTGTTCCAATGTGGATAACTGACCTACCACGTTTCTCCCCAGATGCCTGAGGAAACTGGTAGTGGTGAAGGAAACGCGACAAGCGACGAATCAGAGGGCAAAGAACCGTGGCGTCGAAGTGTTGAGGTTCGATGACGTCGAGCGTCTCGGCGCACAAAAGAACCATCCGGAAGTGCCACCGAAGGTGACCGACCTGTGCACGATATGCTACACATCCGGAACTACTGGCAACCCGAAGGGCGTGATGCTGACGCATCAGAACGTGATGGCAGGTGTCTGCGCGGTTCTGTTGCAGCTGGGCGAGCACAAGCCCTCGTACAAGGACACGATGATCAGCTTCTTGCCTCTGGCACATATGTTGGAACGCTGTTGCGAGAACGGCATGTACATGGTGGGCGGGTCCGTGGGCTTTTACAGCGGTGACATCAAAACTTTGCCCGAGGATATGAAAGCCTTGAGGCCTACCGTCATGCCAGCGGTACCGCGACTCTTGAATCGAATGTACGACAAGGTGAGTGCAGCTTACGAAATCCGACAGTTTCCCAATCGCCCTCTGCCACCCGAGCAGATTCCAAAGTTTGCGACCACCTGGTGTGCAACTACTATTCACTGTTTACAGCTCAAGATCGATCGCTCCGATCGCGTTTAAACCTGATTGATTATCGTTCGTTGAGTATTTCTGAACAGAGACAAATAACGTGAAATATATTTTGTTTCGTTCCTGTATTCACGGACCGCGAATTTGGGAATTATTTCGTTAGTTGAAAATGAAACGTAAATAGCGTAGAAATATCACGAATGATGTAAAGACTCGTTGAGCATTGAAACGGAAATGTCAGTAGTTTGAAATAAGTAATTATCCGTGAATTTATAATATTTTTTATATTTATTATACATAATTATACTTAAAAAATGATTTTATTCTTAGTCTTCGAATATTTTCGTTCGTTCGGAGTGAGAACATTTCGGAATAAATTTCCCGGATATGTTTCGAAAATATTCTATTTACCATTTCGAATACAGTGGCCCGCGCTCAAGTGATATTCTTAGCAATCGAAGTTACAGGAGATTCTGAAGGCGTGGAAGATATTTTCGAATGCTCATCAATGTGCAAGGCCGTCCCTACCGAATGATCTATAGAAAATTAAGATTCCACGGCGGTCTTGGAATTCGGACGTGTATCGTAATTTCGCGTCGAAGGAATCGACGGTGTAGGCAGATATTTTTACGCCCAGACTATGCATCAAAGTGCAAGGACGCGTACACTCGTTTGTGCAAGGCAATTTATTGAGAACCGAAATTGCTCGAACGTCGTGCAACGCCTAACAAATTTCGCATCTGCCGTTTGTCAAAGCTAATTTGACGAGCTTTCGACCGTGTCGGACAGTTGAACTTGATGGACAGTTGCATTAGCGAAATTATCTAAACGTGTAAACACAGAGCTCGCTAGTCGAAACTTCCGCGACCTCACGAGACTGTTTTATAGTTTGAGATTACGTTACACCTGCAATCGCAATAATAACCGTCCTTGTAACGTCTGTTTCGAAATTCGACAAAGTCAATTAAAGAGACGCAAATTGTCTATGGCAAAAAAATGCTAAAAGTGAGTTAAAAGATAAGTCCGAAAAAAATGACTCTTCGAAACTTAACGAAGCTAACACAATTTTATTGGTAATGTTTTCTGAAAAATAAAATTTCGAGAATATTTAATCGAAGTCTCCAGTATTAAATTCATTGCACTATACAGGAAACACACTCGCAAATAGAAGTAGAGAATGCAACATGACGAAACAGGTGGAGGCGAAACCGTGTCTACCGTAACCGTGAAACCACGAATGAATGGAATTTATATACTATGTGTGTGTGTGTATACAGTAATTTTACGCGTCAAATTTATCGCATGACACGCATTAGCATGTTTCCGTTGATTTTCTCTGTCTTCGCTCATCCCTTGATTTAAGATCTAACGATCAGTGTCCAATGTGAAGAACAAATTGGCTGATATTTAACAATAAGAGATAAAAACCATTAAACTATATTCTCACGAAGTATACATAAAACTTATTCGATAAAAGCACATAAAAGGAAAATGTATAAATCCGAAGAAATATAATTAAAAAATAATTTTCAAGAATTCATGTATTTTACTGAAACATCGATTAAAAGATTTGACCGTCTAGAGTCGATCGAACTTTCTTACGCTAAATCCCACGGTATATAAAATAATTGGGCATTCCGTTTAACTGCGCGCGACGCGCATAATTCTCAACTCGCTGAAATTAGATAATAAATATTCCGCGGGAACATTCGTTTCGCGAGATGCGAGGCTTCGAACGGCGCGTAAATACATCGAATAGAAATAGATTTCAAACAAACTGCGAGAGATCGTGCGGAATCGAGATCTTCTCGTGACTAACGAGCGCGCCAGAAGGTATAGGCTCCAAAGCCTAAAGGGAATTTCTCAAATTTCAAAACTGTCGGTGCTGACATGGATCACTGAAAATTATTTTGGCGACCATCAGCTCCAGATGTGCTCGCGATCGGAGTGCTCTTATCTCGAGGCTGCAAATCGCTCAACCGATGAATCGATCGTTCAAACGGACCGACAGTTAGCCACCGGTTGCCAACGTTCTCTGCGAAAACGCAGCTTTTAAGCAGGGTCGGCTCGATTAGCCGCGTTAAATATAGAATCCATAGTGAACGTTACCAATCGGCGTTTCGCAGGTCCAATCCGAACTTCAGAGCTCGTGCCTGAAGAAGCTGGTGTTCAGCATGGGAATGCGGGCGAAGGAAGCGGAAATCAAGAAAGGTATTATCAGGAACAACAGCGTATGGGACAAGTTAGCCTTTGGAAAGATCAAGGAATCGACCGGTGGAAGATTGAGACTGATGGTGGTAGGCTCTGCTCCGCTTGCTGGAAACGTGCTTACATTTGCCAGATGTGCTCTTGGATGTCTGATCGTCGAAGGCTACGGTCAAACAGAATGTTGCGCGCCAGTTACTCTTACGATTCAGGTTCGTATTTAGCGAAACAACAAGGAGTATAACCGAACCGATAATCACGAGTTTAGGTCGTTATTTATTGTTAAAAATACGAAAGAATACAACAGAAATATACAGGGTGTTCGGCTACCTCAGGGAAAAATTTTAGTAGAAGATTCTAGAGGCAAAAATAAGACGAAAGTTAAGAATACCAATTTATTGATTGAGACTTCGTTAAAGAGTTATTAACGTTTAAAGTTCCTTCTGTAGAACGGCAAACTGCGAACAGCTGCTAGTGGTTCTCACTCAGGAAACTGTAAGGCTGTCGATACGTTAACAAGTAGAGTTTCTCATGCTGAGTGACAACCATTACTACAAGCGAAACTTTAAACATTAATAACTTTTTAACGAAGCCTCGACCGACTAATTGGTATTCTTGATTTCGTCTTTATTTTGGCCCCTAATATCTCCCATTAATATTTTATATGCCAGATAATTGGACTATATTTACATATGAAGTGATAAAAACGAGGAATACAATCACAGATCTCTAGCCATACATTATATTTGCGGTAAAGAATTTGTTTCTCAAAACTACGTAGGAATTCAGGGGTATGTGTATTCACTAAAAATGATTATAATTGTCCTCTACAACCAAAAATAATTTTTTCAGAACGATTTGAAACTTTTTTTTTCGTCGAAAAATTTAAGCACCACCTGTCGATTTTTCTTAAAAATTAGTTTTTCATTTTCAGTAATTTTGTTTGACGCCCTATAGAAAAGTTGTCTAATACTGTTTTGTAAGTATCTATGAGCTCTACTTTCCCCCCAAAATTTCATTGAAATATATTCATTATTGTGGGAGTTATGGCCGTTTGAAAATTTGACCATTTTTATGGGGTTTTTCTAACTTTCCGGCGTCAAGAAATAACTTTTTCAATATTGTTAGAATTTTTATATATTCTTGACCAAAATACGCCTTACTTGCCTATTGAAACATTAAAATCCTTCAATCCGTTCAAAAGTTATGACGTTTTAAAGATACGCACGAAATTTTGGAGTGACATTTCTGGCCTGATATTATATTTTCAGAAAGGAATTTTTTCTCGAAACTAAGTAGGATTTCGGGGGTACGTCTATTCACCAAAAATGATTGTAATTGACCCCGCAACCGAGAATAATTTTTCCAAAATGATTCGAAATATTTTATTTTAGCCGAAAAATTTGTTCACCTATTGGAATTTTTTTTTCGAAAGTGTGTAGGATTTCAATGGTATATCTATTCACCAAAAATGATTGTAATTGGCCGCTGCAACTAAAAATAATTTTTCTATAATGATTTGAAATTTTTTAATTTCGCCGAAAATTTTGTTCACCTTCTATTATGTAATAGTTTTTCGTATAACCGGTACTAGTTTTCTTGAATCCCCAATAAACCATTCCTTGGGTGTAAGGCAATACAGGGGTCGACATTCTTACGTTTTGTATTTTTGGGCACGGGGTATCTAAAAATATGGAGCAATACAAAACACTGGAGGGATAGAGACAAATTTGCATTGGAGAGACTACGTGCGCATGATTGTGGATCTCACTCAGCATGAGAAACTCTACTTGCTAACATATCGACAGCCTTACAGTTTTCTGAGTGAGAACTACTAGCAGCTGTTCGCAGATTGACGTTCTACAGGCGGAATTTTAAACGTTAATAACTTTTTAAGGAAGCCCCGATCAACAAGTTAATGTTCTTGATTTTCGTCTTATTTTGACCTCTAGAATCTCCCATTAAAATTTTTCAAAGAAGTGACCAAGCACTCTGTACAGGATTTTCCAATAAGAGCGATAGAATATTGAATCGATACATTTGGGTTCTCAGCGACAGTATTTTTCCTTATAATAGCAATATTCTCTTCACTTCTTACGTTACATTGATGCTTCCAAGTTTAATCAACAATCGAATCGACGAATTGTGAGCTCCGCAGGTCGACTCTATTGACTACAAATCGAACGATGCATTTTGTTTGATAATAAATTTTAATCTGTACCTCTCTATGACTCGAATAAGCGAATAACAAATGTGACAGCTATGACAATTGAAAGTTGCACATCTTCTATATGAAGGAGATTAGGAATCTATGTTTACATAAGTTTTTCTCCTTGTTTTGGGTTCCTCTCCTAGCTTCCAATATCTCTACATTAATACCGGAAACAACCGGTAGTACATCTATTGTTTAACTCCGTGTTCTGTGCGAGCAATGTTACATTGAACGGAATGCAAACACAGGAATACGCGCAACGTATGTTAACAGGCATTTCAGCTTGAGGCAAATAGATACATATACATATCTTACGTCTCGACGAAGCAGGCGGTCAATAAACGCTCCGCAAATAAATCGCTCGTGCACCCACTGAGCCGAAGTTACGAGATATATGTAGTCTTTGATGAGTTAGAAAAACAGTCAGGCAAAATTGAAAAATAAATCACTTCAAGGCATCAACAAGTTTAAGTAACTGTCTGTTCCTACAAGTATTCTTCCGGTTCTAGTAATCGTAAGCTATGCAAACAAACATTAACGACGATCGAAGAAAGCTTGCACAAAATGATATCTTACAATTTTCAACGTTGGAAAATTTATAACGCTGCAAATTTAAATTTGAAATTAAGATTCTTTTACTGATAGTAACACATACTTTCCTTTTGTTGTATTTAACAATCGGGAAACGAAATAATACACGATCGCAAATTTTTTCGATAAGAACATCCGATGTGATTTCAATAGAAGATTGGACACTCGTATTTTAATTGCATTTAAAGGCATCGATGTACCTAAACGACACAAGGTGATTATTTATAGGCAAGCGTAGATATTTATGCCGGCTAATCAAATAAAAGAATTTTGCAACCACGCGCCAAAGCATGTGGCGAGTCACGTCAATTGTACAATCAGATGTACAAATATATGCGAGCACGTATGCAACTAGTGTAAAATATTGCATCGCTCAAGTATAATTGCCAATTGTTAAATTTATTTATTTAACTTTAACATTGTAGATCTGGTATTTTTAGAAACAAGATATATATTATAGTTGGGTTAATTTTCGATTAGGAAATACGAAATATTGAAGTTAAGAAACACAGGAAACCATTAAATTTTGTTTCTTTACATTTTCGTATATCGAAGTTGAATGATCGAAATATTAAATGATCTACTTTTCCGATATTATTACAGGGTGATCATGTACCAGAACACGTGGGACCACCGGTGGCTTGTTGCTGCATTAAATTAGTAGACGTCCCGGAAATGGAATACTACGCCAAGAAGAGCAAAGGTGAAGTGTGCGTAAAGGGTACTAACGTGTTCGTTGGATATTTTAAGGATCCCGAAAAAACTGCTGAAGTTATTGATGAATTTGGGTGGCATCATACAGGGGACATCGGCATGTGGTTGCCTGTAAGACAAGAAATATTATTAAACAAAATTCCATGACGAATTTATCATTTTTAGTACAACCGGTTTTTAGGGCGTCATACTATTTTAATTTTAATTTTCTATTCCCTTTTTTCTAGATATCTTTATAATAAAAAAATGATTTACCTTTCTCCATATACTTTCTACTAGATTCAAATATTTAACTTGAAACAATTTTAAAAAGGTTACAGAAATATTAATCACTTACAGTAATTTACTTTTTGCAGAATGGAACACTCAAAATAATTGATCGAAAGAAACACATCTTCAAATTGTCACAAGGAGAATACATAGTTCCAGAGAAGATCGAAAATATATATTTACGTAGTCAATATGTACATCAAGTATTCGTTCATGGGGAGTCTCTAAAGTCTTGCATTGTAGGAATAGTAATACCAGATGTAGATGTTGTAAAATGTTGGGCAGTAGAGAATGGTATACCTGGTACATTAAGCGTGTTATGCAACAATCCACAAGTCAAACAGTTGATTCTGGATGATATGCTTGCATGGGGAAAAGAAGCTGGCCTCAAATCCTTTGAACAGGTAAACAAAACAAAATTATACTTGAAAAGTTCAATAATTAGCGAGTCTTTGATAACTCTATTTAGATAGTAAATGTTCCTTCGTAAATATAAAATGATTATTTTCTAATTAAACTTAATTATAGCACTTTTAGATTCTATTGAGTAAAATAACTATTCAAAAATAAATGTAGAAAATAGAAATTTGATAAAAAGTGTCAAAATTAATTGTCTTTATTGTAACTTAAAAAAAAATTACATACAATGATTTTATTTCTGTTAATATTAGGTAAAAGATATTTATTTACACCCGGATCCATTCTCTGTGCAAAATGGCCTTCTCACACCAACATTGAAAACAAAACGGCCTCAATTGAAAGAATACTTCAAACCACAAATTGAAGATCTTTACCGACATTTGGACTGACCAGACTGAACATTCACTATGAGTTGTTTTCATTAGCATTGGGAGCAGCAAAGACAGGAAGGATCGAAATGCCTTTGTGTCGCATTCACAGAAATCACTTCCGTCATCGAATATATTCGTTATTCCGCGATACTTTATTATATCATTTTCACAATTACATAGCGACGCAAAAAAGAAAAGCACCGTTTAGGCTACTAAGGTAATTGACAATATTATAAGTAATAAAATGAGTTATTATTAGGCGCGTCTGATTTTCTCTTAAGTATAATCATCCTTTGATACTTTTCACATGTAGTTACAGTTTTCTTTGTCCCCCAATCCTTGTATTTTGATACAGATTATTACCTAACTATAAATGTATATTTTTATTAATAACGATAAATAATTAAATTCTGAATTTAGTACGCAGTAGTATATTGGAACGTATACATTATCCATTTTTATGAAAGGCAATCGAACACGTACGCGATACGTAAAACAAACTCGATATTTGTTGATTTGCAAAAGTTTACATCATATATAAATCGCGACATGGACAACTCGATGGTAGTGAAGATGATTTTGTATGTATACTGTCAGATGTTCTAACATATGCTGCTTAGAAGCATATGACATAATAGGCAAGTTATATTTTTTATATTACTAATAATACATTGTAACTACTTTTTTCCTATTTTAACGACGATATTTCAAATTTAAACTTTTCTTGATACGTATACGAGATCAACATCAACTCAATACCAAAATTAATATGAAAAATTTAGGAACACAAACTGTTTAAATTATAATAATATAAAAATAATTCAAATAAATGAAAAGATCAGTAAAAAGATATGCTACGACGTCCTTTCAATTTATAATTTAATAATCACCTAACAGACACTTAATAAATTGATAACATCTGAAACTCACTGATAATAAATATGGCTTTCAAGCTGTATCCCAACCCAAAAAATCATTCTAGTAGCTTCTTTAGCTTTTAGATTTAAAGCTATAGTACACAACCACACAAGCAACAATTATAAGCGTTAATGCTACTCCTGCTAAAATAAATCTTTGCTGAAGGTTTCTTAATATCATTCCTGACAGCAACCGAGAACCAAGTCCCAGCTCTGCATCTGTCTCTCGTAACTAAAACAGTAAAGTATGTTTATTACTATATAAAAAAATAAAGAATAAATTTATATTCTTCTTTAAAAAGAAATATGTGATTTATTAAAATTAAACATGTCACTACGTTAAAAGTAATAGCTTACCCTTCCTCTTCCTCTTTGTATTGTCTCTCTTTGCTCGTGCAATTCTTTTAATACCTGAGAACCAATTTCTTCTGTTTCCAATACCATTCGATATCCGTTTTGTAAGGTTCTACCAGTATGATCTATTCGGTCAGAAGTATCCAATAATCTTTTCTTTTGATCCTCTGTGATGTTGCTTTCCCAAGAATCTTCTCTGCTTATTTCAATGCTCTCATCTTTTGGCTTCTTAGCTAACTGGAATTCTTGTGTTAATCGTTTCAGTTCTGCTCTGTGACTTTCTACACGACCACGTAATCGATCGCGGGCTGTGCCGGTCAACCCACGAACCTCCAGTTCCATTTGTTCAAGCTACAGATTCGATATATAAAATTAAATACCAAACAATACCATAAATATTATGTGTTATTAACCAAACTCAATGTAAAACAGCGCAAATGATTCTTGATTCTTATATTCATGGTTTCAAATAATTTCGAAAGTTCGCGAGGGATCATTTCTAACCCCAATACGAACTCCTCGCAGTTTCCATCAATTCGGAAGATGTATTTATAAAAATTGCATTCAACTAAAAGAGAAAACTAATATTTTATTTTACCAGTTCCTGAGCCTCTTCAATTTGCCTGTCCACATCTTGAACGAACGCTCTTTTCTCATCTGTAAATTACGTCATGTGTATTGATTATTGTTGTTTAATAATGCCAAAAGACAGAGAATCGACATTAAAAGTAACAATCAGTGTCTTGCGACAAAACCGTTTCTACAATTCCGTTTTTGTTGTACTTACTGCCACTTTGTGTTCTTATTCTACCGATTTTTGCAGTAACGTCAGCTGTCAAAACGGCATATTGTTGCTCATAGTTGTCAATGAGCGACGCCATCTTGAATGTATTTCCATTAACGACAAGCAAATGGAGAGTAAACTAACATTTGCATTGGATCCGTATAGTGATTTATAATAGCTGTGTTCTAAAATCAACTGAGAAAAATGGTTACCGACTTGCATCCTCCAACCACATGATTATATATAGTCACTATATATTCTTTCTATATATTCTATATATTCTTTCGCTGGAGAATTGTAAATATTAGACAGTAACAGTATCTCGTATAATATATCTATCGAATCTGTATAATCAGAGCATAGCTTTCCGTTATCTCAACCCTATCACCAGTCATAAGATTTTGGACAAAATAGATAGAAAAATGACATACTCTGAAGTGTTATCGTCAAAAGCGACATTTAATGATAATCAATAATACTAAACGTGTTATTTACATCCATAATATTCTATGACAGTTGTTATCTGATACTTTGTTCATACTAACGCCATGTTCTCATATGACACGTTTGCAAAAATGAATTAAATACATACTTATTTAAGGTACGAGGTTTGTTGATAAAAAATTAGAAAATTCTCATTGAATATTTCACGTTAAATTAAGTACTGTACATTAATAAAAACTTCTGTTACAAAACAATAAAAAAAGTTCGCGGTAGAAAGCAAAATCTTTGAAATGTGGCCACAAAATGACACGTCATTGATAATACACCAATCATAAGAGGAATTAAAAGGGCCCCACCAATCGTTTCAACCGGTAACAGGCCCTGTTAAACAGGGTCGACCGTCGACCATGCTCAATCTACTTTCAACTCGACAGTCGAAATGAAAATGGCCGCTGAGGTGAGGTGGCTTTTGATTTTTCATATATTTTCGATAATTAATGCAGTTCTCAGTGAAACACCTCATCGAAAATTTGAGTATAAATATTCCTTTAAACCACCGTATCTCGCACAAATAGATGGAAGCGTGCCTTTCTGGGAGTACGGAGGAAGTAAGTAAAAGTAAAACCTAACCAAATACACTCAATCGTAAAACACTTCCGTATGTTATTTTCTTGTATTCGGCTTTTTGATTATTTAAATGAAATACATCGTTATTTCATTTCCAAACATAGATCTCGTTTAGATCTTTTCCCTGCGAATATTTTAACGTATAGATGTGAAGATATTTTCATGACAGAACTCAAATAAACTGCCACGGCAAATGTACATGTTTTTATTTACATCGGAAACGGCTTTAATTAGTCTTGAAAATTAAAAGAAGGAATCATCAAATTCGATTATTTGTATAAGTAAATTAAATTACTTTTTTAAAAATTTAATATTATGGTACATGTAAAAATATTTTAAATTATTGTTTCTGTTATTAGTTTTCGTACTTATGTGTACATTATAATCAATTGATTGTATTCGAGTCATTAAAAAAAATATATTTGTTTATTACAGATGCGATTGCTAGTGCAGAGAATGTTAGAGTAGCCCCATCATTGAAAAGTCAAAAAGGTATATGAAAAGTTGATTTCTTTAATTTACCTTAATTTATACATTAATTATTTAATTTAATAGTAACAAAATTATAGAATATAAAAATATTATTTCTTGCTCTATTATATAAATGTATTATTTTAAGATACAGATATAAGATCTATATTATAGTTTTTATGGTATAATATAAGATAATATGTATTTTTACTAAGTATTATATGAAAGTGTAAAATTACATTTAGGTGCAATATGGGTAAAACAGCCAATTACCTTTGATTGGTGGGCTGTAGAGTTGATATTTAGAGTAACAGGAAGGGCAAGAATTGGAGCAGATGGTTTAGCATTTTGGTACACCAGTTCAAAGGGTGCCTATAATGGTACTGTTTTTGGTAGTTCTGATCAGTGGAATGGACTCGGAATATTCTTTGATTCCTTTGACAATGACAATAACCACAACAACCCCTATATTATGGCTGTTCTCAACGATGGCACAAAAACTTTTGATCATACTAAGTGAATTATATCTTTTATTATTCTTTTTTAGCATGTAATAAAAATTCCAATAAATGATCCTGTATTTTAACTTTGATACAGTGATGGTACAACACAATTATCTGCTGGTTGCTTGCGAGATTTTCGTAATAAACCATTTGCTACAAGAGCAAAAATTGAGTATTATCGAAATGTTTTAACAGTAAGCATATTCATATATGTTTTGTTTTCAAACATTAATATATACAGTAGTGCTCACATAAGTGACCGCGGTTATCCCCACTAATTCTTAGAAGCCAAGCGGCTTCGAACTTCGAACTTCGAGCGTGTCGATTGTAATTTGACGCCGGTCGTTATCGATACATTGTATATATGATTTCGGGTGTCAGCTATTGTATCTCACTCGCACTTATCCTCTTTCCTTATCTCCGTTGAAGTCTGAGAAGTAACCATGCCCACATAATTGACCACGGCCGGTCCCGAGTTTGGTCATTTATGTGGGCACTACTGTATTATGCATCTTAATCTCTTTCTTTCAATATTTAATTGCAGGTATTATTCCATAATGGGATGACAAACAATGAACAAGATTATGGGATTTGTTTCCAAGTTGAAAGTGTATATTTACCAAAGGGTGGATATTTTGGTGTTTCGGCTGCTACTGGTAACTATCTTTAAGAAAGAAATAAACTATTGAAATTAATTGATTTGTAACACTTTCTTCTAGGTGGTTTGGCTGATGATCATGATGTTTCTCATTTCTTAACACATTCTCTATATCCTCCTGGTCAGTTGAGACCTGACGAACAGAAAATTTCATTAGAAGAACAACAAAAACTTAGTCAAGAATTCTTAGATTATCAAAAAAAATTAGAACAACAAAAAGAGGAATACCGTAGGTAAGAAAGATTATTACAAAATTATCTTTTTTGAAGAAGGGCACCAAATAGTGACACCGGTCGAAAAAAACTGTTTTAAACGATAAGATTTTTAAATATTTCCAATGGATTTTTCTTTTCTTCAAAATTTCTAATTTTAATTAAATATCTGGATATGTTTCATATAAGTGTATTTTTAAATGTAACGACCGTGTCTCTTAATTTCAAAAAATTACAAATTTCATTTTAAACAGGAAATTTAATTCTAATATAATAAAATCTTTTAGAGATCATCCAGACGAACATCTTGAAAAAGAAGAATTTGATGAATATTTTGAAAATGAAAATCAGAGAGAATTAAGACAAATCTTTGCTGGCCAAAGCGAAATGTTTGTTATATTGCGTGAACTTAATAAAAGATTAGATGAGGTAGTTGGAAAACAGGAAAGATCTTTACATTTAATATCTCAACTTCAAGTAGGAGGTAGCCTTTTATATATGACACATTAACAGAGTTGGACATTATTTATATAACTTCTAATAAATCTTTATCTAGATAAATTTCTATTTGTGTCATATGAATAAAAGTTTCATTCAATATAAAAACATTCTGAAACGGATAAAATTTGGTAAAAAACGGATGTAATTTGTTATCTAGAGAAAAGTATGCCAACTCTGCATACCAGTATTAGAAACGAAAAATTGTTATATAAACATAAACAATGTTTCTATAGGTATGCAGGTAGGAGGTCAACCAGGGCAGCAAATTCAACTGACTGACACAATACGTCGACAAGAAGTCGACACCCTATTGGGCAACCAGAATGTTATATTAAATATAGCCAAAGAAATTAAATCCTTTGTGAACGAAGTTTATTCTAAGACTGACACTATTCTTAATAATCAGGCTCGTGCTCCAACAGCTCAGGTATTTATTTATATTTAATTTTTTATCGATCATTATGTGATATATTTGAATAAAACACTATTTTATAGGTACAACAAATGGGATACGATTATCACTCTGTTATTTCGGAAATGCAAGATGGAATTAATACTTTAAAAAGAGAGATCGGACAAGTAAATACTAAATTAAATAGTGGAAATACAGATTGTCCTACAACAAATTGTTTAACAACGACAATGTTCTTACTTTTCGTGGCAGTTCAAATGATCATCTTGTTCGCATACAGCATGTACCGGTAAATTTTTACTTTGTCAAATTTATATAAACAAACATGTTCAAAGTAGATTTATGTATGATCTTGTATTTTGTTTTTCTTTTTTTTTGTTTACAGAGACAATAAGGAAGCACAGGCGAAGAAGTTATATTAATGTTTATTTTTAATCCTACAGTACAGAAGTAAAGATACAGAATTAAATTTGTACCTTTATGCACTGATTCAATATTTGTATCCATGGAGTATGCATTTTGTTGAACATTTGTATAATAAATGCATTCTTCATCCGAATTAGATTTAACAAAGTGGCACGGCAATCTGTGGCCCTGGAACATGGTAAAAAGGTAATCATTGATCGTGCTCAGTTTTGTATAATTCAATCATTTCAAATATTTTTTTCTACTCGTCATTACAAATTATAGACATAGCCATAAAAATACTACAAAATATGCGACATTAATCTGAAAATGAGATTATGAGTTAAATAATAGGACTCTTGGAATGTGAGACAGTTTATCGTGATTTACTTAAAGGATTATGTGTAATATATATTTTTTTATCGTCATTCGTTAAGAACGTTTTGCGCTACGCGCGCACCATCTTTTTGCTAGTTTTGTTTTACAGATTCCTTTCCTTTTTTTACATAAAAATTTTTTAGTAGTGTTACATGAAATATACTGTATAAATATTTATACGATTTTTGTATGGGAATTGGCATATCAGCAAATGAAGGCTGAAACATTTCTCTAAAATATCACTTTTGTAAGATGGTATTTATCGATCTGGTACTACATTCCCTTAGACGAACAAATGTATAGGTAAGCTCAACGTCTTTAACGTGACAAATACTACAAATTAAAAGTATGAAATCATAAATATACATAAATATAGAGTATATATTTATACTCTACCGTACTCTTGCACTATTGGTGAAAGTGATGTCGAATAATCATAACATTCTTGATACTGTAAAAAAACATTTTGTTAAACAAACATGTATTTAGTATGGTGTATCGAGTAGATAATATAGAAAGGAGGAACTCGAATTATTCGCAAGCTCGGTATTCCTATTAACATTATTGCATTTGGAAAAGTTTATCGAAGATTGTAAATGTATAATGAAATATATCTGATAATAAAAATAATAATAAAAACAAAATCTCCAAATATTATTCGAATCCTCGGGTCAATGGCATACAATTTCGAATCTCGACTACCCAGGCATCATCTTTACGTTCCGACTGCGGGGCCCTCAAAACCTCGTAGTCTGTACCGACTTGTTCGGTACAATCATGGCTATATTTTATAACATCAAATTATTTGATTACATTATACATATCCTACTCATCGGGAGTAGTAAACTTGCAAAAGAAGCTATCCATACATTGTTTTGTTAGAATTTAATGTTGAATACTTGCCGACTGACTTTTGTTTATACTAATTTGTTTATTAAATTCAACTACTGTGTTTAGGCTATATATATAAAAACTAATTTTTGTTTAATATGATTTTACTAAATATTACGTAGTTGTATACATATCAATATACTATGTATAATATACAGGGTGTTCCGCCACTCCTGGGAAAAATTTTAATGGATGATTCTAGGAGCCAAAATAAGACGAAAATCAAGAATATCAATTTGTTGGTTGAGGCTTTGTTAAAAAGTTATTAACGTTTACAGTTTCGCCTGTAGACCGGCAATCTGTGAACAGCTGCGTACGCATGATAATGGTTCTCATTCAGCATGAGAAACTCTACTTACTGACGTATCGACAGTGTTACAGTTTTGTTAATGAAAACCACTATCACGCATACGCAGTTGTTCGCAGATTGCCGTTCTACAGGCGGAACTTTAAACGTTAATAACTTTTTAACAAAGCATCAATCAACAAATTGGTATTCTTGATTTCCGTCTTATTTTGGCCCCAAGAATCTCCCATAACAATTTTTCCCAGGGGTAGCTGAATACCCTGTATAATATATTATTCTAAAATAAATGACGTACGCATTGAAATTACGAACAAAGTTGTTTTGAAATATGGTTATCATCCTTTACATTCAACTATAAAGTAAAATCTGTTTTTATACGTATAATAAAATCTCGAGTTTAAAAGAAGAATGTATTTTACGAAGAAATCTGAAAATAATATCGTACCCAATTTTCGGTCTTGCCTCAACTGATTTTAAATATTCGGAAGTTTACTCTCAGAGCACTCATTTCCGTTGCCTTACAGCATCGAAACTATGTTTCTTGCCAGAGATATTTATGTCATGTAATCTAATCAATTTTGATACATCATAAGAAATTTATAAGAAATTGAATTTATTGTTGTTTAAAAAGTGATAATTTTATTTAATTTGTTACATCTGTTATAAAGGATTGGTTTTCAATGTTCTCTTTCCAATCTCATAATCAGGTTCGTATGTCAGTATACAGATATATTTATGACTGTATAAGAGTTTTATCTAAGTTTAGCAGGCAATTTATCATATAATATTTTGCTTTCTATTGAGAAAGTATACATTGAATGCCTTTTATTTCAATTTGATTAGAATTTTCTGTTTCATAACCTTATTTCGTTGTATTCACAGAAATTTGTCAAATTTATATCATAGTTTTGTATTTAATTATGACAATATGGTGGAGATTAATTTTTAAGAATACAATATATGTGTTTTTAATTTACTTTTAAGAAGGGTATAGAAAAAATAAGTTTTATAAAAGTCAACTGTAATCATTTCATATTTTTAGGTGCTTTATCATCTGACGCAATTAACTTCAGCAGTTAATCCTAAATCTACACCGTTTCCAGTCAAAGTTAAAAGACAAAATGAGTTTAAAAGAAATACAGATGATATTTCCCACAATAATTTGGCAGAAGTATGATATATTAAATTTATATATTTTATTTTAAAATATAATAGTAATTTAATAAGTCTATACTTTGTTTTAGACAACAAAATGTTATATGGAAATGCAGATAAGCAAATTAAATACGTACAATGTAATTACAACACTCAATGTAAAAAAGAATAATGTTTGGGTCCTATTGAACCAATTTTCTACAAAAATTTTTAAGAAAAATATAGAAGAAAGAGATAAGTGGAAAGTATCATATGTATCAGGATCAACTTTTATAGAAAACAAACAAAGATTTCCTTGTGCACAACTTACAGAACCAATTATTTTGCCTGTTATATATTTGTCATCCCAACAACATTATAGAACGTTATGTACTCTTTGTACTAAAAACCCATTTAATTATCATGTACAAATCCGTAGTTTTAAAACAAAACATAATATAGCTGTGGATATGAACAAACGACCATCGCTTCTAAAGAAAGTTATAAACAGGCTTTCTCAGATTTTAGAAATGGTAAGACAATATATTATATAACATATATTAATTGGTGGCATTGTACATGCCTGCAACAGTTGGTTTTAGGATAATTTATGGTTTAATTACAAATTAAATTGTATAAATACAAATAAATTTTTTATTTTACAGAATTCATATAATTCGAAAATATTACAGCTAGAAACATTTAAAAGATTGTGTAATAATAATTTATCACCAGAGGACTATAAAAAAATTTCGATGGCTTTTATAGAAGGATTTAAAGCAGGACTTGAACGCCAAGTACCTCCTGCACGTCCTATATGGTATAAAATGTTAAGTATTTTATTACTTATGTTTTTGATCACGTCACTACTCAGATATGGAGGTATGTAAATTTAATGCTGTAGAAAGACTTTTGTAGAAAAAAAATATCTTATTGCTACTATATATAATTCTATGTAATAATATCATAGTATTAAAACAATATTTAAAAAGTATTGATGAGCTTCAGATTATTCGCGCTAATAACGCATACATTTTTTATGCCACAGCTTTGAATCCAGGAAGTATATTTCGGTTTTCAATGGGTCCAAGACCTGAGATTAATCCAGAAACAATTCATGTAACTTTTAACGATGTTAAAGGAGTAAGTAATGTTATCATAAATAAACGCAAAATACTAATATTGGTTTACCTTTCAAAGAATAATTTATATTTTTCCTTTTAACATATGTTTAGGTTGAAGAAGCCAAGCAAGAGTTAAGGGATGTAGTTGAATTTTTGAAAAGCCCCGAAAAGTTTTCTGCACTTGGTGGAAAATTACCAAAAGGTGTATTGTTAGTAGGACCACCAGGTACAGGAAAAACATTATTAGCACGTGCAGTAGCTGGTGAAGCTGGTGTACCATTTTTTCATGCAGCTGGACCAGAATTTGATGAAGTTCTAGTAGGGCAGGGTGCACGCAGAGTGAGAGATTTATTTAGTAAGTTACGCTTTCGTTTAAGATTACATTTTTCCTTTATGTTTATGTATGCCTGTGCATTTATGTTTTTAGTGATTTTTAAATTAATAAATGTTTTATAATTTTAAATACTTCTCTAAATACTAAATTAGAATGCATATGTTTATATTATGTTGGTAGTAAAACTATACAAAAAAGGATTTCATCAGTTTATTCCTAGATGAATAATTTTTCAGGAGTAGCAAAAGAGAGAGCTCCTGCCGTAATATTTATAGATGAAATTGATTCTGTTGGTGCGAAACGAACAAATTCGGTTCTTCATCCATATGCAAATCAAACTATAAATCAATTGCTTGCAGAAATGGATGGGTAAAGTAAACATTTTATTTTTGTTTTACAATGTACAGAACAATTTTAGAAAGTTGATTCTATCTATGAGCAAAGATAGAGAAAATAAATAGAAAGAGTAATAATTTGAAAGAACAATCATATTGAAGTGAAATAACCATCGTTGAATCATTTTATTTTTTCTCTACCTATATTCTTTATTTGTGCTTAGAAAATGTGTCTCATCCAAATAAGATATTTGAGGCTTTCGCGGTCAGATTTTGACAGTTGATACTGGTTGGGAAAAGTATAGCAAATAGATTTAAACTATACGACACATGTGTATTGTTTGACTCCTAAAGAAGTTAGCTGTAATGCTGACGAAAGAACGGAACACTTTTGCCAAAGAATACACCCGGAAACCTCAACCAGAATCAACTATCATGTCCCATCCAAGATTATAGCTTTCGGCTAAGTATAATTATTATATGTTATAACTTTGTGCATTAAATATCTATTGAATATTTAATTTCTTTCTACCAATTATAGATTTCTTCAAAATGAAGGTGTTATAGTATTAGGTGCAACAAATAGACGCGATGACTTGGATAAGGCATTACTGCGACCTGGTCGGTTTGATGTTGAAATTTATGTGAATGTACCTGATTATGCTGGTCGGAAAGAAATTTTAGATTTGTACTTATCAAGAGTATTAACGCAAGATGTTGATGTAGATTATTTAGCTCGATGCACCGTTGGTTTCACTGGCGCTGATTTGGAGAATATGGTACGCCCTTTATACATATATATATACGCTTTTATATTATTTTGTATACATATGCCTGTTTTAAATGGAAAAATGAAATTATTTTGTAAACAGTTGAAGATACACAAAACTTGTTTAGTGGGAGTCTTTTTTTCTACTGCTGATTCACAGTCTACAAACAAATAATTAAATATCATGTGCAAGGTTTTTGTTCTTTAACTGTCTGCAATTGCGAAAGGGTTTATGAATGGATCACTCTTATTTTCTATTTATTCAATTTTCAAAGATAAATCAAGCAGCTTTACGTGCAGCTTTAAATGGTGCACCATATGTAACCATGAAACATTTGGAATATGCTAGAGATAAAGTAGTACTGGGTCCAGAGGGAAAATTAAAAACGGTTGACGATGAAGTCAATCGTATTACAGCGTTTCATGAAGCAGGACATGCGTTAGTTGCTTATTATACTAAAGATGCTGTGCCAATACATAAAGTTACTATTATGCCTCGTGGAGCTTCTTTAGGACATGTAAGTATTAGAAGTCGGCAATATATTTGATCAGTTATTGTTAAAAAAACCATAATAAGAAACAAATTAATTCTATATTTACAATAATATTTTAAAACAAGTTATTTCTTCGTACATTTAATGCGATTTCTATTTTAAGAATAATTTATATACATTTTAGACATCATTTTTGGGAGACAAAGATGAATTTCATGTAACAAAGGCAAAGTTATTAGCTAGTATGGATTCGATGATGGGTGGTCGTGCTGCAGAAGAATTGATTTTTGGACCTGATAAAGTAACAACGGGTGCATCAAATGATTTCAAGGTGTTTTATATATTTAATCTATATTAACAATTTCTTATTGTAATTGATTAATGTGAAAATATCTATAATGTATTTTATAGTTACCATTTTTTAAGTAAAACATAAATGTAAATGTAGATCAATTGTATTAATAATCATATATTTTCAGCAAGCAACATATATTGCCGAACACATGGTAAAAAGTTATGGCATGTCAGAAAAAGTTGGGTTCAGAGCATATACTGATAGTAAAGGACAAGAATACAATTTTGGTAGCGAATATGGACCTGGTACAAATGAACTTATTGATAATGAAGTGAAACGACTTCTACAAGTAAATTTTTTCATTATATAATGCTAATTTTACGTACCATTTCAAAATATTCGGTATTAAAGATATTTTTTTCAGGAATCATACGAACGTGCAAAAACAATATTAAAAATACATGCAAAAGAACATAAACAATTAGCAGATGCGTTACTTAAATATGAAACATTAGATGCTGAAGATATAAAAAATATAGTAAATGGGAAAAAAACTCGAATTGAAACATTAAATAATCAACCACCAATTGTAGATCCATCTCAGCATGTATTGTAAATAGCATACTGAAATTAAATTTAAAATAGGAATTAAAATAAATCATTTGGAACATTATCACATTTTACAATGATACTTTATATATTATCTAATTATATTTGACAATTTTACATATATGTAAAATTATTAAATTTTATTAAAATATATTGGAACATTTAAATTTTAGTCTTCAACATGTTGAACTTTTAATCAAGTACTTATTTCATTATAATATCGTGCTCTCTGTAATTATTAGTGTAAATTTTCTTAAACACAAATCAGTTTCTCTGTTACTGGTTGAGATTAAATAAAAACAGAACAGGATACAGAAGAAAAAGTATGAATGTGGAGTATTTTTAAGAATCAGATTTAAATCTTTTTACATTAAAAATAATTATACGGTAATTGTTATTTAATACTAGAATCCAAAATATTTTCATTGCTTTCGACACAAGTATAAAACGCAACGCAGTGATCATTTTTTTGACAAGTTTCTTAATCCAAGTCAAAAAAAGAACAATAAAACGAGAACAACTGTACTATATAATATGTGATTTCATTACAAAGTTTACAAATAGAATATATCTTAGCGGGTAGATGAGGTAGAGAGGCTGACCGCAAACTTGGGGAAAGCCGACATATACTATCTATCGCACGAGCAGCATTACGTGAGCTCGGCACTGCGCTCAACTTCGGGAAATCGAGAAAAAAGGCGAATATGAGCCTTTCTTTCTTGTTGAACAACTGAAATCCGTCCTCGCGTTAATGGCATACAATTTCGAATCTCAACTGCCCAGGCATTTTTATTATTCCTATGAATGAGCATTAATTCCTCATGTGCATCTCAGGGTCGTTGGTAATGGGTTGCAAATATTTGTTACGTTGGTGAAAATTTTGGTGGATTATTTCTTGAAAACTCCAAGGATGACAAGATTCTTGGAAGGGACAACTTGTCGTCAATAACGTGTGAGTGTACTTCGTCAAGGCTTCGAAAAATACCACCAGCACGCTAAGGAGCATCTATTCTCTTACTCGCCAGGATTTTGTCTCACAGGTACGATAATCGTTGCGGAGCTCAATTACAATTATTTTTTATGAATACACATACCCCCGAGATCCTACGCATTTTCGAGAAAAAAATTCTTTACGAAATCGATAGGTGCCTAAATCTTTCCGGTGTAATTGAAAAATTTTAAATCGTTTTAAAAAAATTATTTTTAGGTGCAGGGGTCAATTACAATCATTTTTTGTGAATAGACATACCCCCGAAATCGAATTAAAAAATTTCAAATCGTTCTAAAAAAATTATTTTCTTTGAAGTATGTAGGTACTTACTTTGACCGTAGACACATAATGATAAACAATAAAACAATAAAACTAATGTAATGAATTTTTGTTTGTAAAATATCTGTTAATTACATTTTTAATGATGTTTATATTCGATCTTTTAGACTAGTAGTAGTAGTAGTAGTAGTAGTAGTAGTAGTAGTAGTAGTAGTAGTAGTAGTAGTAGTAGTAGTAGTAGTAGTATAACTTTATTGCCTTCCCCTTAGGGTTACAAGCACTCCTCCTTACCTTACAACCTTCCTTACAACCTTCCTCAACCTAACTTATCTCTTACTCTTATTCTACCGCTCCGCACGCTTTTCTCCCCTTTCTCTCATTCCGCTCGCTCGCCTCCGCCAGTCTCCCTCTCTCTTAACCTACTCTTAAGCTAATCTTAACCTACACGCTCTCTCTCCTTAATTCTCCCCTACGCCTCTACTTCCTCTCGCCCCCTCCGCCTTCGACTTCCATTTCCACTCTTTCGCTCCATTCCTTCTTTCGCTCCTTCCTTCCTTTTTACCTCCCTCCTTCACGCCCCCTTTCCTCCTCTCTCTCTCTCTCTCCTCCTTCCCTCCAGCCTCTTCATCCAATCCTCCCCTCCCCCTCCTTCGTCCAAAATTTCCCTTATCTTTTCCCCGATCCCCTTCCCCTGTACATCGCTTCAAGACGTGCTCCCACGTCTCTTCCTCCCCTCCACATACCCTACATCTCCTCTCTTCCTCCTCCTCCCAATATCTCCCCCCCCCCCTCATTTCGTTCCCCATCCTATACCTTGCTAGTCTCCCATACCTCACTTCTCCCCACCCTGTCTTCAGGTACCTCGGTATCTCCCCTACCACCATCTCTCTATACCATTGATTGTACCTTGACTGCGCAATGTTTCCCCTTCTCTCCTCTTCCTGCCTCCTCCCATCCGTCCCAGCCCTCTCGACCCCTTGCCCCTTCCCCTCCTTCCCTCAACCCTCTACACCCCATCCTGTCTCTCTCCCATGCCGACAATTCCTCTCCCCTTTCCCTTATCTCTTCCAGGCACCACCTAGCCAACTCCCCTCCCTCTCCTCTACCCAGTTTCTCCTCGTATCTCCCTGCCCTTCCTCCCGCCCACGTCCTCAACTTTTTCCTCTTCGTCTCCTCCCTTCCATATACCCTGGCGTCCTCCAGTCCACCCCCTCTTTTAGACTAGTATAAAAAGTACATATTTCGAGAAACATACTATTTTATTTCACATTTATATTACATTGCAACCAGTTATATCTCTATAAACGAATTCAATACATGATTATAAAAGATTATAAAAGTATTTGAATAAGACATTAAATAAAGTGTACATGTATGTAAATATCTTTATTGAAATACAAAAATACGTGTGTAATATTTTTAAACCCAATAATAACAAAAATTAATTTATTACTATCTATTTTTCTTACAAGAAGGAAATTGCAGGAGTCCTACCAATTTTTTGATGAGATTTGTTTGAAATATTCATGAGGTGATTTTTAATAAAGATATAAAGCAGTTTGATGCACCCTGTGCCTATTTTTATTAAAACATTTTTTTACTTAAAAACTGTGATAATCAGTGCTGCTTTGTATCTTTATTAAAGATCACTTTACGAACCTGCGACTTTCTCTTCGTTAACGTACATAAAACTATATTCACAAAGCAGTTAAAAGAATAGATTATACAAACATGTAAATAAAAATTGAATGAAAGTATTGTTATAATTCCACTATTTGGAAAGTGACCGAATCTAAATGTTGAATCGTATAAAAACAGTTTAAAATCAACATTATTATAATATAAAATCGCCTTATAAAATACTTACATTTTCATACAAATTTGTTTTTTATATTAATTAGTACCCATTTTCCTAGTTAAATAATTTGTAATCATTTACTATGTAATTTTTCAATACAAACACTGAGCTGTTGAAGGCGCTGCAATAAGTGGCGCATATTAGCGCTCGAATGTCGAAGACCAGATTGCTCTCCACCTATTTCTTGTTTTTGTCCTAATTCAAAATGAAGTCGAGCTAGTCGTTCCTGCTGTTCTCGTATTTCTGTCATTTGTTCCATACTACAGTCTTTTCCTGAATTGAAATCATACTATTTAATTAAATGTTTCAATGGTATAAATCTACATTTGACATACCAAATGCTCGTAAATTGCCGCTGTGAAAATCTTCCAAAAGCTGTAACAAAGCTTGCTCCATACGCCGAACATCGGGAACCTCTGATAAAAAGCAATGATGTTTGCATGGCGCCATACCTTTATTTTATAATACCAAAATACAACCAAAAATCGGATGTAATGAGACTATATACGAACTTAAAATGGAAGTGTGCACAAAAAATTATAAATTTAATGCTAAAATAGTCTAACAAAAATAATAAGAACATATGCATGAAACCAGAAACGTAATTTGTGCAATACAAATTAAAATAAAATTAATATAAATGTATTTACCTTTATATATGAGGTGTAATTAAAATTAGCAATATATCTTTAAGCATGTATTCTACATATCTTAAGGATAAAAAAATGTCATGTATAAATAAGTTTCTAATATTTGGCCACTTATTTCAGTTACACTATGTATGATAATGTGTATAAACATTATGTAAATTTATTTAGGAAAATTAGTTTATAGCTTCATAGTAATAGTTTTAAATTTATTTTTGAAAGTATTTTTGTAACTCATAAACTTACCTTTATGTTGACGATTAATTCTTGATGGTTCTGGCCGATTTGGTTTCTGTTTTTCCTTTTCATTCATATAGCTTAGACGTGACTGGTTACCATAATTTGAAAGATTCACAGCTCTACCAGAAACCATAGATCCCTGACTTGTTGCCTGGCCAGAACTTCCTTTACTAACAATTGGTGATATTTGTGTACTACTTTCCCATAATATTTGTTGCTGAAACAAGGAGCTTTGTAGTTGTTTTATCATTTTATTTAAGAATTACCTTTTTATATATGGGCAATTAGTAAAAATAAAAATTTGATTTAATCTGTATAGCACTAAATAAAAATACAAATTAGTTATATTTTGGTAAAAAATTGATAAAATAAATATTAACTTCATACCGATACATGAGAACTATGTGTATCATTTTTACTTGGATGCTTAGACCTTGCTGGTGTCGAAGGTGGAGTAGCTTCTCCACCGTGACTTAATGGTTCTTCGCATTCTTCTTCTTGAACTAACTGTTGCAGTTCACAGCATCCAGATTCTTCAGCCATTCTGATAATTTATAATTTTAACAAAATATTGAACTTCCCACTGCTGTCAAAGATGAATAACTTATTATATAATCTTTTATTTTTGAAAAGTATTTTATAAAAAACAAAAAAACATTTAAAAACTCTTTTTAATACTTTTAAGCATTTATATACGTAACATATATACATTTGACACTTGGAAAAAACTCTTGAGATAATGGGTTAATCTTAATAAGGTTGGCTACACATCTTAATAACTGCCACAGTTTCATGTAATACACACTACATATTCGCCTATCTTTTTTAAACTTACAGCATTTGAAGATGATGTTGGAAAATTAACTTCTGCCAAGTATTAGTCTTATAGTTGAAATAGTTTTAAAGGCATTAAGTGTTAAACTGGGAAATCATTTTGTCCGATTTCTCGAAACCTTAATATGTAATATTTTGACAATATCGAGACTAGAGATTGAAATTACCTCTGGATGCTGTGAAATTAAAAAAAAATATAGATATGATTCAAACTAGCAAACATGTAAAACACTATCGTCATAAAGAGTGTATTCCATAAAAACCAACAAAGATGTTTGATCAGGTTCTCAATGTAAGCGTTCGAATACTTTCGTGTATGAGTGTATATGCAAACGAATTATCTGATTACTGTGTCAGAACTAGGATGGGAATAAAGAAAGAACATATGTAAATTAATAGTGCGAAAGGAAATTTTGTCTTTTATTGCACACGAGCTCCGTCACACATACAGTCGTCCGCTGACAGCTGACATGAAGTCTTGCGGGACGGCACAGGGGCAAAGAGAGTCGGACCACCCATTTATCTATCTCGCTTCCTTGCTCTCAGCCAGTGCACATGTCTCTGTAACTGTCGCGACGAATAGCGAGCTAGAGATCAATGTGTGCGTGGAAATACGTGCATCCCTTCTGCTTCTCCCGCATTCATTCCGCGAGACTTCAAGTCAGCGGAGGATTGTACAAATAATGTGGCCGCCATAGGGGGTTCTCCGTTAACCGCACTCTATGCATGTCGATAAAGAGGAGCAAAGAATTCTTTAGTCAAAAACATTACAATCTATAATTTATATTATGTGATATTTGTTTATTATACGTATCATATAACGTTGGTGACGGATGTAAATTGATCGTGTGTTTCTGAGGAAAAATTGACAAATATATTGTAATGGTCATTTTTATATACAATATAATTCTAAATAATAGCTGTTTCGTATATTACATTTGGGACTTGTTGGGCAAAATGTAATTTTATTTACATTGACCCAATACTGTATTTGTTTCAACGGCCGGTTTAAAAATGCTCCCGTAATTCGTATCCAACATTTATTTTAACATGCATATAGAATTCAGACTGCATTAAGAGTAATATAATCTCTCAACAAGTTTAACATACTCAAAAGTAAATATATATCACTTATATTATAAAATTAAATATATCGATTTAAGGTTTAGAAAAATCTGAATTTTGGTTACTTCAAATATTTTAGTTAACAGTCATTTGAATTATTAATATTTGAAATAGAAATCCTTTTCTTTTATATTATAAATATATTTGATGTGATCTATGGATAGGTACATGGCAAAATCCTGGTATAATAGAAAAAAATTAACAAGGATACTTTTTTCCATTCAAACAGGCCACTCTAAAACTAATACATAATGTTTAAGTCAACTACTATATTATCAGAAAATTTTCCAATTAATGTTATAAGGTATAACATGTTCCGTAATTCTAAATTTTGATTAAAACCTGTTAGTGAATAATTTTTATATTATTTAGCCTTGAAGGTAATATTACAGATGTTTTCGTAAAACCAAGCTTTACAATAGGGGAAATCAAAACAATTGCAATTAATCATTTTTATGGTCATGATACAGCAAAAATGCTATTGCAATTTCGTTTAATTCATTCATCTAAGTTCACGCAGCTTGTAGATGACCATAACATAAATGATGAAAAAATTAATAAATATGGTAAACTATCAATACAATGATGTTTTACATTTAATTTATATATATGCTAAATAAGGTACTTAAAGTTATTACCCTAATTTATATTAATATTGTTACTTCTACAAAAAAGTGACTTCTAATTTTTTAAACAGAAACTTTAATTACTATAGGTTTTTGAGATCAAACATTTATATTTGTTTACATAAAGAAGTAGAAAGAATGAATTAGTCTCACATATAATGATATTGGTATAAACCAAAGTGGTAATTTCGAGTACCTTATTCTATATAAAAATAAAAGAATGATTTAATTTTTTAGACACGTTAATATTAGTAGAAATTCGTACAATACCTGTAAAAGAAAACTTGTTTGAAGATGCTTTAAAAGGTCCAAATGAAGAAGCGATATTGCAAGTAACCAATAATTTACCAGTACGTAATCCACCTCGACCTATTTCATCCATTGAATGTCCTGCAGATGTAAGTATATATGATGATATTTTCATCCAGTGGAAATTAAATATTTTATGTTTCGCATTATAGTTTCAGAATGAAGTACAGAAAATCTTAATAACGCTTGTGAAAGCATCAGCAAAGATTCTAATGCATAGCTCGGAAACACAAAAGTTTTATAATATTTTAAAAGAGAAACTGAAAGCAAGATGTAAACCAACTATTGATCCAAATGCTGTAGACACTCTTATGAAAATGGGTTATTCGCATACAAAAATTCTGAAAGCTCTTCGTTTACGAAAGTATAAATATTTTATTGGATTAATGCATAAGCTTTTTTGTTGTCTGAATAATTACACTATGAATTACACTGCATACATGTAAATAAAATTAGGAATTATACGTCATTGTTGTATATACGTATTATACGTAATTATATTATTATAAAATCGCTTTAGCAGATAAAAAGATAGAAAACTAATGCATTTACCTAGTACCATTTAACTCTGTGTTTATAAGTGGTAATAAGTCAAAAGTAATGTTATACAGAAAGTTTCAATTTATTATAGATCAAATTTAATAGAAGCATTGGGGTGGTTAATGGAACATCAAAATGATCCAGATGATGATGATTATGATGATGATTTAGACCTGGTAAGTAATGAAAAAGATAATTATAAGTATGTTGCAGATCCCAGTTCACCTACTAGTGCAAAAAAGAAATCTTTTAAAGATGCGTGTATTGAATTATTTAAAGGAGGTAATTACCCCAAAACTTTATACTGCATTTTATTTTATGTAAACCTTTTAGTAACATAAATAACGAAATTAATGAACATTTATGCTAAAAATTAGAAGTGAGTGCTCAACTTTGTTTTGTACTTGTATCTAAGTAAAATGGCAATTATATAGAAAGTCAAAATTTGAAGAATGATGGGAACTTAATCGGTATAGTAGACCTCATACTTGAAAGTTTTCATCGCTATAAGAAAATGGACTTCAAACCTAATTCTAGTGCAGTAAAATCGCTTCTAGAAATGGGATTCGAAGAAAATAGTATTATTGATGCGCTAAAAATTACTGGAAACAATCAAACTAATGCAGTGAGTAATACAACATTAACTTAATCGAATTTGTATTATTTATAAATTTTATTTTAATGTTTTCACTTCTTTCAGTGTGAATGGTTGCTTGGAGAACGAAGACGTAGTTTACAGGATTTAGGTGAAGGGCTTGATCTTCAAGGTCCAATTTATAAAGCAATCATTAATAATCCGCATATTCAGCTTAGTCTTACAAATCCTAAAATGTTACTAGGTAAAATTCATTATTTTTATTGATACATATCATTTTACATAATTTAATGTAATTAAATATTACAATATTTAATTATTAAATAGAACATCATTTTTTTTAGTGTATTTATCTATATTGGAGACACCAACATCTATGAATGTCTGGATTAATGATCCTGAAGTATCACTAATCATTAATCGAATACATAGAATATACCATGCTGAAAAATATGCCATTCAAATGAATCGATATGCAGCTAATTAATATTATTTCAAGCATCATGAACTATTAAATAAATATTTCGTTACAAATTTACAGTGAAAATTTGTATAAATTATTATAATAATAATAATAAGTACAATCTGTGGACTAGACTATTTGTTCCATATAAGTAGTAAATGTTATTAATATTTTAAAAGCAGAATTTACTTTAATGATACATTTATTGAATATTCATTTAAAATATTATAAATTAGTATTTTTAAAAGTTGATCATTGTGATCCCACCTTTTATCCAGTGAGTGCAGCTTTCATTCCGTTAAAAAACAAAAGAATTTCTGTAATTCCATTTCCTAATTCCTATCGTAGTAAACGCTATAATCTTTTTCTATAACCTTTTCTTGTGACGAACCACAGATACGGATTGTGTACGACCGAAAAATATTTCCAATCATTAATATTACTATAAAAATATATTACTCATGAATTTAATTTATTTATAAAAGCTTTGTCTGCAACAGAAAAATTCTCAATTTGTCAAGAAATAAGTCCTACTTTGTGCACGAAGATAATTTCACATCGGAACTTGAGATTATATATATAAAAAGATAGATAGGTTTATTTAATAAATTTATTCTAAAGCTTATTTGTAAAATAAAAGAAACTGCACTGCTATTCGAAAGATTGCACCGCCATTTACGTCAGAAGACAACGAACTATTTCTCGACAAATTTGGACATTTTGCTGTAGATGGTGCTTCAAGTAATATTCCGTAATGCAATGAATTCTATTTTACTATAAAAAAAATATCGCCGCAGGGGAATAATTTAAGGAAGATATAATCACAGACAAGGTATACGAGTAGACCTTTCACCCAATGTATTTTTTCGGCCCGTTTCTCCGGGGTCCCGGGACCCCATTACCATTTTCGTGTCACTCGCAACGTTATCAACAGATTTAGAAATTAACACAAGAGGAAGTGAGATAGAAAATGAAATTATAGAAATTTTATTATTTTTTAACGGAATGAAAGCTGTACGGTCCAGAATTGGGCATCAATCGATTAATTTCATTGGAGTAACCAAACGATTAAGATTATTTAAAGATTTCAAGATTATTAAAATACGTAAGGATGTACCTCATTGACAACTAAATCCTTATTTATTTAAAAAATAATTCGGTATAGCAGTCAGATTGGGTCATCAAAGTCCATAAGGTGAAAGGTCTATTCGTATACCTCGTGTGTGTTTCGCATAGCATCAAAAGAAAAACGGTAGCTTGGAATGTTTATTGTATTTCTTTTACAATCACGATTACTACCTAGGGTAACCTCGACGAGAATTTTTTTCTCGAAAATGCGTAGGATTTCAAGGATATGTCTATTACCAAAAATGATTCTAATTGACCCCCGCAACCGAAAATAATTTTTCCAGAATGATTTGAAATTTTTTAATATAATATTTATAATCGTTTTAATATTTTTAAAAGTTTCCAATTGGCCGACACGAGAATTGTTCTCGCATGTTTCGATATTAAACCCCTCGATGCTTGAATATTTTCCAAATTTACGATCCAAAATACACAACTTCTCTTCGTATGCATTAATACGTGTTTTGTTGGGTGTTGCAATATATTGTTTTGCGATTTTAGTGACGCAGTTTACGTATCTTTGTTAGAATCCTGTATAATTTACTGATAAGAAAAGAAAGGTGAAAACTTATAGAAAAGAAAGTATCGTATAAAGGACAGAAAATCGAAGAAATGAATACGTGATGTATAACCTTGGTTCTCGACAGAAATTCAAAGAAATTTTCAGTCTCTTCGAATTTGTCCATATTGTCATACCTATTGTTTGCAATAATTATTAATTAATATCAAGCAATAGTTAAAATAATGCTTGATAGAATGGGTTGTACAAATAATTGTTTTTGATACCCTTTCGCGTGGAATATTCATTTTTTGGTCGAAGAAACGAATATGTGATTTACATGTCTGACCTTGGTTCTCGTTAGAAATTCAAAGAATCCTTCAGTCTCCTGAAATTTAACCATATTTTCATTCCTATTGTTTCCAACAATTATTAATTAACATCAGGCAATAGTTAAAATAATGCTCGATAGCTTGGGTTGTATAAATAATTGTTTTTAGTACCATTTTGCGTAGAATATTCAATTTTCGGTCAGAGACACGGTTAACTGTTATTGGATTGGTGAACTCGTCAAGGACGGTCTTCCCCACCCCTATAACTCTGCTGCCTGAGGCTGAGTTACACTACCGGTGACGAGCTCACTCTTTCTCCTCTGGGCTGGCGGACATAGCGGAACGTCACGTCGTGGGACTGTTTACATATTTCACTTCTGGTTCCTTGCTTGTAAATGTGTTTGTTCCTATATTTTATTCTTGTCTTTGTTACGAGCGGGAGCGCGAGATCCTGGATTCGGTCGAGGGGCAGTACTCGACCGGTGGTTTTGGGTATGGTTAGGAAAAGAAAGGAGGTCCGGACGAACCAGGGGCTCTATACCCTGGGAGCCGTAGGTGGAGGTTACGTGGACGAACCAGGGGCTCTATACCCTGGGAGTCACGGGGTTAGATTTATAGGGAAAATGAATGGTTTCACGGACGAACCAGGGGCTCTATACCCTGGGAGCCGCTAGTAGGAGTGGACGAACCAGGGGCTTTATACCCTGGGAGCCACGTAGGGTTTTAGGATGTTTTAGGATCTTGCTCTCTGTCGTGATGGTACACCTCGAGCGGTAAAGGTGTACCGGGTTCGTGAGATACCCCTAGCCTTACGGTTAATATGGTTCAGGGTTGCCTTGAGTGAATAACACACGTAAGGAACAATAACTTGAATATATATTTTTGACGATGCTCAAGTACAGCTATGGGTTTACAAGAAGTTGTACAATTGCTAAATTGCCTCGAAGGCGAAAGATTCGTTATCGGCTTTTAACGCGGCGCGTTCGCGGGAGCTCTACTCGATTAATGGACACTCACTGATAAACCGCTAAGGTAGATAGTCGTAGATAGTTGCTTGAAGGGGATTATAGCCCGATCTTGCCCTGAGTGTCACAGTAACGTCGTGCCAAGAGTTTAGGTAAAACTGAGCTCCCCGAGTAAGAAACCGCGGCCCTTATATAGTTGAAAATGCCCAGTACTAAGGCGGGGCATTACCATAAAAGGCAATGAAAATTGGGCCGGGTGTGCGCATACGGCATGAGTCAACCCCGTTCAAAGGGTTGCTCGCTAGATGCTCGAGCCAACGCCCAAGTCACCAAACGTTTCAGCCCCATGCATGAATGATATGTAACATCTTAAATGTTGCTTACTGTATATGTTGTGCTCTTGTCTATGTCTATTTTACATCATTGGTTTCTCTGGGTCCATTTATTTTATTTCACAGCTTCGTGTTTCCCAATTTATTATATTTAACTCTTTAACTAATCGCAAATGTAGCCTCTTTTAGTTTGTTTCAGATTACTTATAGGCCTCTATTATCGTGGGACATCGTTGGACATCGCGGGACATTGTGGGACGACAACGCAAGGACATCGAGGGACTTTTATTTCCAGGTTAAATTTATTTTTAAGGCCGCGACACAGATCTTTATTAATGGAGGGTGGTTGGGAATCGGTTAAGGCGGGTCTCCACTCGCAGCAACCTCCACGTGGACCTGGGTAATATTATTTAGCGTTTAATTAATAATCGTATCACTCTTAGCTGGGTAATGCAATTATTCATTAAAAACTAAACAATATTAGCAAATTGGCTGCGATCCGCCTTGCATAGGTCATCATAAATATAGAGCTTCTTCACTAGGTTAGTTTTGATTCTCATTGATTTATCAAAGATTCAAGAGTATTGTCACAGACGAGGTGTGCGAGTAGATCTTTCACCCAATGTACTTTTTTGGCTCATTTTTTATGGGGTCTCGAAACCCCATCACCATTTTCGTGTCATTCGCAACAGTACCAACAGATCTAGAAATGAATTTTAATCTCTTCCATAGTGAACTCACATGTATTTACGCAACACTACAGCTGCTTGCCTATCAATACTAATTCAGTGAATAGTTTCTCAACTGACCGCCATCCATGTGAAGAGGACGCTAAAATCAGCTCCGAATTTTCAGGTCGGTATGGCAGTCAGATTTGGCCTCGAAAGTCCATAAGGTGAAAACACAGACGAGGTCTATACCTCGTCTGCGGTGCAAGGTCTACTCGTATACCTCGTCTGTGGTTATGTGTTCACAATAATTGGCGATTGTTAAATTAAATTGTAATTCCTGCCGTTCCGTTAGCGCTGTCGTCTTATTCTTTTCAGAATTCGGTAATGTCGCACGTGACACGAAAATGTATCGGATAATAAGTGTTTTCTGTACTTGCAAGGAGAGGGCAAGTCCTTCGGTTCACCGATTTTATCGAAACCTGGCACATTTGTTGATCTTGTTATTCTTTTCACGAATGGGGGCAGATAGTCAATGGTTGTCGAGATATTTGCGATTGAAGCTTTATTGTTTGTTGAAATATAATTGTAACTTCACTATTTAGGAAGTATGTCTCGTTGGTGACAACGCACTGTAATGTATACACTATATTATTCATCGACAGTGTCTCTATACGTCCGATTTGCTTCGTCGTTTGGGCGTTTGCGTACATATTCTGTCAACGATAGAAATATTTTTTTCATAGATTTCATAACTTTTGGAGGGATGGAATCGTCTTCATATTTTGGGAATCTCCCCTTGAAGTGCGCACGCACTTGAGTGATTAAAGTATACATGTACTATCGGTGGGACGGCCGCGTAGAACAGGTGGCGCTAGTGAAGGAACCACGGCCGAAATCGCGAGAATCAGTCAGTCGGTCTCGCGCCTTACGCGTGTGCGTGTCTGATTGTATGGGTTGTTCGCAGTACCGGGAAATCGTGTTTGGCGCTCGCGTATCGTTTTCCAAGTTGTTCGACAACGACGACAGTGACGACAGATTTCCTTAGGCTCTATCGCGCGAACATCCATCGGCGATTTGCATTTTGAACGGAACCAGGCTGGTCTAGGACAATGTCGGAAACGTGAAGGACGCCTCAAAGCGTCTGCGACAGGACGATGCAGAAATGGTAATTCAGAACGACATCACTACCAATTTTTTCCTTATTCCGATAACCGTTTCTTTGACAATCGTATAAAGCAGTGGTTCTTAATCGTTTTCTTTTCCACCCTGGACCTCTTATGGCAGTCTAATCTGAGCTTAGGACCTTTTCTATGCAATGTTCCTCAGAATAACGTTCTTAAATATTAGTTAAATCAATGTTTGAAAATTTGTACAGATCGCTTTACGAGATGAGCATGAGCTTAGGAGCAATGGTAGGAAAGATTCCGAAAATAACTGTTTCAAACTTGCTTACAAACAACATTAGAATCGTTCGGTTTTAATTGCAGCAACTTTTTGACTTTAAAATAAGCGAGTTTATCTTTAAGTGTGTATCTTTGATAGAATTTGTATTAGATGAGAGAGGGTCGTGGATCCGCGTTCAATTTTAATGCCGTCGAGACCAAATAATTGGTAAAAGAGTTCTGTAGTGTTTTCAAGTGTTTGAAAAATCCCTTTTTTTAAAAAAAAAAGGATTGTTAGGGAAGTTTCGATTTCAGCATTCAAAAGTTTCCAAAGACGTCGACCTCCACGCTTTTCTCCTATATCTAGCAGCTTGGATAAGAAAGCTTGTAATTTCTTTGTGCAAGATGTAATTTTAAGTTCAGGACATTGTCTCGAAAGATTTAATTTGGTCTAATAGTTACCGTTATGTTCGTTAGTATCGCGAAGATGAAGTTGATATTTTTAGGAATAATGCGTGCAACGATATGTAAAATTAAGAACCACTGGTATAAAGTGTCGCGTCGTTCAGCGAATCGTTTCATTTTCTGTGCGTTCTTTATGCTCTGTCGTTTGGAGGGAGGCTGTGAAGTTTCTTTTTGACGTACAGTGATCCCTTGCTAATGTTCGCGACGCGAATGTTATAGAGGGAGGTAGGGTTAATTACTTTAATTATTGACACCAAATTAAGAAAGTTTAAAAATGTAGGAGCATGTTTCAAATATGAAGCTGGAACAACCAATTTTAATGAAAATTATTCACGAATAGTAATATTTTTATATTAATTTTGTCAAAAGTTGCTTGTATTAAAGATTTTATTCTTATTAGGGAAAATTAGGGAAATCAATGTGAATGGGCAATTAATATTAAAATCAATTAATTTGAAATTTTTAAATATATTTTTATCATTAATAAATTTCAGAGTTTTACTAGATGGTATGATAATGTAAAATAAAAGAAATCGAAACTTCGATTCTGATTACTTTTTTAATGCGATTTTTATTTACGATTTTTAAAGTGTCAATAATTGGGTAATTCCTCCTATTATTTCAGGAATTGCTGACTGCGAGGAATTAGAATAATTAGAAATTATTTAAAAAGTGATTTAAGTGAAAAGGGCATAGAGCGAAAAAAAAATTATTTCACTTCAAATGTGTCTGACTTTAAATGAAACACACGAAATGGAAAAGTTCAACGTTATTTCATAGATGAAATTTGATTTTTATATTGCAGACAGAAAAACTGGTGTAAACGTTATTTAATATTATAGTTATGAGACAAGTACATACATAACATAGTAAATGATTTATTCGAAGTATTAAGAATTACTTTGGTACACATACATAATATTACTATTTTAAAAAACAAAGCACAGAATATAATAATTATTGATTGCTTCTAATATATTAAATTTTTTCTTATATGCAAGTTATTGTGAACATACTTTTTATCAATATTAACTAACATTTTTAATCTAAAATATAAAAAAATGACTTTCCTGCGTAAAATTTTGTTAAATTTTCAGTTTTAATTCAAAGTCAGGAACAATTGAAGTAAACAATTCCCCACTTTTTACTCTATGCACTTTCTCCGGTTCAATCACATTTTTAATAACTTTCCCATCAGGTTTGCGGTATACTATACAGGGTGTTCCACGCAACTGGAATAGGCTATACCTCCTAAACGGTTGGGAATAGAAAAATATGTTATAAGTCAAAGTTAAATGGTATCAGACGATGCGTAATATGCAACTAATTTTATGCACTTTTGTGCATTGATGCATCAGAAAAATGCAACTGCACCTTCTTTCTAAACGGAAACCTACATTTTTCACTACACCAGTCGATGTAGTTTCTTATGCTCTACATAAAAGTACTAACATAGTTATGCCCTAAACTTATTCGTTAGGATGTTATCGAAGATAAAAGTTCTCTGAATTATTTCGGTCTCTCAGCAAGCGTTCCGGTGTACTTAGGTTACAACAAGTGTTCGAACGGTCCTCCAATGCAGTCCAAGCATCTTTCCAACCGTTTCTTCATGTTGCGTAATGCGTTCCTGATGTTTCTTTCCGTAATTTTGGATATTACTTGTTGAAAGTACCTCATATTTTGCCGTACACTTAGAGGAATCCCTGTATCGTGGACGAGAACTGGTAGGTCGGATTCCAGAAAGTTTAGGTACCTTTGACCAGTCAATGTTCCGTTAAATAAATGTGGACCGATAATCCATTTGTCAGAAATTCCACACCAAACATTTACACTGTAGCGTATTTGATTTTTAGTGTTCCTTTTGAGGCGTGAATTTGCAACGGACCATGTATGTTCATTATGTCGATTGAACATCCCATTGTTTGTAAATGTCGCCTCGTCTGTCCACAGAATTTGAAATATAAAATGTTCATTTTCCTGAATACGCCGTAAGAAATATCGACAACAGGTCATTCTTCGGATTTCGTCACCAGGCCGCAATGTTTGCCCAACGGAAAACCGATAGGGATAAAAGTTCTGTGTTCTTAGAATGCGTTGAATCAAGAATTTTGAAATTCTACATTCTCTAGCCAGATCTTTCACAAATGCATGTGGTTTTAATTCGACGTTCGCCAGCACTACTGTCACACTACCTTCATTTTTAACAGCTGGTTTGGGCACGTCGCGTTTTGGTTTATGGAAAGACCCGTATTGACGTAAAGACTCCAGTTTGTAAAAATATGAACGCGAGGGCTGTTGCCTATTGGGTTACGTTTCTCGATACAGCCTTGCTGCCTCGGTACCATTTTGAGTGTATTTGCTAAACAAAATGATCATATCAACTGCTTCACTATTCGTAAATGCCATAATTTAAAAACACTGGAACAGCAAACGATCGCACACGAGTAGTAAATAGTTACCGAAGGAAATCTTAAGCTTACAGTGACATTATAAAGCAGCACAAACATTGTAAAGCAATACAAACATTGTAATGGATTCGGAGAACTTTTATCTTCGATAACTTCTTAACGAATAAGTTTAGGGCATATTCCGTGGGACCCTGGGGTTCCATGAAATAATTTTGGGGTTCCGCGAGACAAGATGTGATATAACATTAAAATAAGATTAGCTGCAATATTTTCATAGAAACGCATTCAAATATTAACAAACTATTAAATTAAACTATTAAACAAATTCAGTCAAATTTTGTTGCCAAAGGCATTATTGTTTATCTGTTGTTTCAAAGTCGTTTATTCTAAGATCAGCTCACTAGATCCGAACTGTTCTAAGAAAGTGACAGGCTGCCAGAAATGCATAGGTGCCTGAACGGTTTTTAAGGGTTCTACAAGAAAAAAAGTTTGGGAAACCCTGATGTAGAGCATGAGAAACTACATCGACTGGTGCAGTGAAAAATGTAGGTTTCCGTTTAAAAAAAAGTTGCATTTTTCTGATGCATCAATGCACAAAAGTGCATAAAATTAGTTGCATATTACGCATCGTCTGATACCATTTAACTTTGACTTATAACATATTTTTCTATTCCTAACCGTTTAGGAGGTATAGCCCGTTCCAATTGCGTGTGACACTCTGTTTAATGTGATATTTGGTCTTTTTTTACCAGCTTCTTTTTATTGTACATTTTTAATTGCTTTTGCCACGAGCAGTTCCATAGGTGGCCGTAGATGTTGTACGTAACATAAGACTCTGTATATATAATATAAAAAGAAATAATATATTTGGATTTGAAAATTATAATAGGATATAATTTTTGTCTAAATACAGAAGTGGAAAAAATTGGATTTTGGCCACGAAATGCCGGTTTCCAGAGCTCTGTGCCGGCGCCACGACGCTCTTGGCCGCGCTCTTTCAGATTTCGCGTATCGTTGCCAAGAGTTTCGTAACAGTGGCTGCCATGCATAGTCGACGGGAGTGCCATTGACATCGAGAATGCCAACCGACCACCTGTGGAAACGAACGTTCTAGCCAACCGACTGTCAACGCCGGTTGTCATTCTAACGTTGGAATTGTTTCCTGCACGCGAAGCATCAATGAGCGACCTTTCTCCACAGCCTAACCTTTTGTCAATCTTTTTACGCTCAGCAGTCGATACATACCTTACGTAATTTTTATTTTCCAACAATCTAAATCGTACCGAATCGATCTTTTGACTGAAAATTTTCTACATTCATCGTTTCTTCGTATCCCGGAGTTTATCCATTCGCCCAAAGCGTGCCATTATCAAATGGTGTGCAAGAACGTTCGAACCTCCGATTATTCTGGGGGCAAATTGTATAGAACACGTGTTACACGGAGCACGTGTTTCGCACGAGATCGTTCGGTTGCCAAAAATTTCGACCGTGTATGTGATCTCTCCCAGTAGCCAAGTAAAATCGAATCTTCCTTAAGGGGGGACACCACTGTGACTGATTGAAAAAATTGAAATTTTTTTATCTCCTTTCAATGGTGGTTTAAGAATGGCCCCCTAAAATATTAAAGTAAAATTCAAAAAAATGACAAAGTTACAGAAGATTTAGTAGATGTAGAACATGTAATACGCGTTACGTTTGAAACTAACTGCTCTTTACTTCGGGACATTCATTTGAAACTCTTATTATTTCTGCTGTGGTAAAGGTTTCATATGAATGGGAAGTGTTTTGGTCGAAATAACTATGTGAATCAAGAGTATTTAGTCTAAAGTGATAAGTGGTGTGAATGAAATCTACTAATACACGACTAACGCGATCCAACTGACAACTTATTTAGCTGTAATCCAATTTAA